GAGTAGAATAAAGATGGGTCTGAAGAGGGGGGGGGAGGTAAGTGGATTATGGATTGGAAGAAAAAGAAATTGATTTAATAAAATAGAAAGAGGAAAAAGAAAAGAGAAAAAAATGGGAAAGATAATAGGAATAAAAAAAAAGGAAAGGAAAATTGGGATAAAAAAAAGAATAGAAGCACCATTCGGCCTGTCAGCCTATGATCCACAGCCCACGCGTGAGTCCCGAAAGAGTTTGGCCTGCTGCAACCAAACAACGTGGGCCATGAAGATCGGTGGGTTCTGGGGTCTGGTATTACAGGTGTATAAAACCACACATGAATATTACATGGTATATTCAACCAGTTTTTGATTCAATAGATACATTCTTTAGGTTGGAATTGAATGCAAGGGGACTATTGAAATATACCTTAACCAAGTGGCTGGGATATGTGATCTTGGATTCTATAGTTCACAGATAGTCAATTCGCAAAGTTTGGGATGATTCCAAATTCACCTATAGAGCTGACTAGAGAAAATACTCTGGGCTAGTTGAAAGATATGGGTAGTCTTTTCCAATGATTTCAATGCCGAAGGTCTTCAAGGTCGATCGTGATACGGTCGTACCGGTAATACCTGTAACCTGAACATTCAACATTGAAACATCTGAATGTTGCATACCTAACCCGTTTCAATGTTCTTGAATTCCCCCTGTCTTGAGTCACTACTACCTTACTGACTTGGGACTAGTTCTCTGATGAGAGAATCTCTGGAGCTTCGGAGTATTAACGGATGAACCCAGATCTAAATCTTCAGTGTTACTATCGATGGAAATCAGACACAACATACCTGATTTACTCTAGGCTTCCATGAAATCTACGCCATATCACTATTTGTGATGCGTAAGCTGTATGCCAGCAAAACAGGTCATGTTGTAAAGCTTGAGCCCACGTGGGAATCCTTACACTTCCCGAAATCAAAGGTTATATTGCTATTCATGACATGATGTTGATAATATTATAAATACCATGGAAGTCCTGTTAACCTTATTGAGTGGCAAACCCTGGAGAAACCTGACGGGGCTTTTTTTGCGTTTATATCTAAATATTGGCCCACTCCAAGCCACCTCACATGTGGTAAGGAAAATAGATTGGGGACGTTGTTATCTAAACTGTACAAACGGGTCCGGAATATTGCCGAAGAGTAGGCATAAGTTACCTATTTACAGTGTCTCCAGAGAATCAGAAACATCCTCACACACGAGGCATCACATGGTGCCATCGGATCAAGCCCCCCACTCCTAGTCCGATCGTCCAATGGTGGATACAACTAGAAACCTTGGGACGCTTTCACCCTTTTTCCCTGTTTCGCATAATGTGCCGAACATTGCGAGTTTCGTCTCATCGCTAATCCTAACTTGGCGTGTCGCATATAGGCTTTGATTCTGAAACTACACTATCTTATACGGCGCCAAAAAGGAGGGGACAACACGATAGTTGACGAATAATCCGTCATCCTTACCTGAAAACAGTGTATGCAAGGTTAAACCGTCATAGTGGGGGGAGGGGTATTTCCCTTTTGAGGACCTTGCGTGCAACCTGAAAATATAGCAAGGCGGTCAAGAAAAAAAAAACAAAAAGCAAAATTCCCAATCTCCAGGCTTCTATGGCGATTCCAAGCGCCTTCTTTTCGTTTCGTGTGCATAACCCATGTGGTCCCACGTGGGCACACGTGGAGAGAGATGTTTAGCGTCTGACCGCCGAATCCCCTTTTACTGTTTTGCGCTTAGAGGGAGGCGCAGCCTCGCGAATCTTTCCCCTGAGTGTCTAAGTTACGGGTCGCGATGGCGAGCTTTCGCTAATAAATTCCATAACTATAACCGTGGATTTCACTACGGAGTACTTTTCAATGGTTTCTGGTTCGTGTATCTTGGTTCCTGGAGACCGTGTTTCAGCTTCCTCCCCGTTCAGGGTTTGCGATAAACACGGGGTTTTACCGATGACGAAACAATCAAAGTCAACCCGGAGAGACGCCCTAGTGTCGCATACCCGCCAAGCTCTGGGGATCATGATCGTCACTTTCTGAGCTCTTAAAATACGAGGTGATCAATGCGCAGGCAGTGATGCAGGGCCTGGCAATCTCACCTTCTCCGCGGTCGGAGACCAACTTCGGCGAGGTAATGCTAACGGTCAATTTGAGAGCCTCATCAAACACTTGGTTCATGTTGAGTCAACGCCCCAACACGATGGCACAACATGGCCCCCAGGATTTCACTGATGGGCGCCAAGCTCTCAATTGGGAGTTTCAAAAAAGCCATTCAATACCCTGTCTTGATTGAGCTATCAGACACGTCAGCAAACCCCCTTTGAGAAACAGTGCTCACCGAGAAACAGGCCCGACCAACCAAAAGCTCCTGGAACAGGTCACGCGAAAGAAAGCAAGAAGTCAGTGCGAGTTTCACCCGCCAGGTGCCCGGCAGCCTTGCCTAAACAAGTGAAATTCTGCGCAGGAGCTATCTTTTGAACAAAAAGGTTTAGACTAGACCGCTCAGACCTAGCTAGAAAGACGGATTGAGCAAAGATACACATTGAGCGCATACCATATGATACGAGATTAGCTCCCCCGCACGACAAGATTAGCCAACGGAAGTTATATTGGATAGCGCAGATCGAAAAAAAAAATTTAATAAACATTCTACATCACAGGACAGAATCTTGGAAGGCGATAAGAACTTTCGAAAAAGCGACACGTCAAATCCACAAACCGTCGAGATCTATCAAGCAGGATCGATCACAATGACACGATCGAACGGTGCCACGTGGAGATTGAAGCAGGGGAGATAATCCAACAGTTTTCGCCCCAACACATCTTAAGGTGGTGAAATTGGGGGCCAAAAAGAGAGTTTCCGGCCGCAACATTTCGGCTCAGCCCTGTGCGAGCAATGCCGATGTGGCACAAACAACCTGCGGCTCTAGATTGAGGGTGACGGGGTTTAGTCTGGTTTCAAGTAGTCCTGATCAAACAAAGTGAACAATTCAAGTGGTGGGTTAGCGAATAGTTTGACACCTTTGTACTTTGTGCCAAGCCCACCAACCAACACCTACTGGAATTGGTGTGCCCTAGCAGATTAATTCTCACCGGATCACGAATTACCCAATCAAGTATATTTCATCTGGCAATGCCATGCAAAAAGTACTTGCAGGAAAGATAATCGTAAACTCGATTTTCTCAACCCTTGGTTTAGTTAAAGGGAATGCAAGAAGTTGTAAAGAGTGTAGATAAAGTATCAATTCAGTATCAATCACAATTATTAAGCATGTTTAAAATGAAAGAGGAATTTAACTTTACACACGGGGTACAAAACTGGACATTCTCTGTACAGTGCTTTTTAAAGGCGATCTTTGTACTTCGTACCTCTACTTGACATTTTTCAAACTTATCTCAGCTGTAGGTCGATGACAACTAACATTCATCGGATATTAATAATTTTCTGGTTAAGCTATTCTGAGAGTTGAGAAAATTGCGGTTCTAGTATTTTACGTGCAAATACCTTTTGCTTGGCAATGCTACATAAGAAATACTTGATTTTTGAAATTTGTTGTCCGGTGAGAATTCGTTTTCCGCGGCCAATTCCGATGGGTGTTGGTCAGCTTGGCGTGATTACTACTCCGTACTTCGTATTCGTACATAGGTTACTCCGTACTTTCAATACCATTAGTTCTGCACATCAAATTCATTATTGCGAGACGCTAAGCTCGAAGGGAGGATAGTGGAAACTAACCCTGTCGGTTTATTCCGCCTAGCATGTTGAAGTGGATTGAAGTTATCCAATATTGAGGCCCGCTAACAGATTGGCTCACGGAGGTTTTCCTGTTCAGAGTCTAAAGTTGCGGTCAGACATTCAACGGCAAGAGAGATATAGCTGAGCCAAATGAGACTCGAGTGATCGAAGCAGCGAGGTGTGTATTAAGTACCGACGTCTTATCTCATACAGGTAATTTATGTCACATGATATTGTATTTCTCCAGCTGTCATCATCCCTGGTGGCCACGAGTGAAGAGATTTCTGCAGGGTTGAACTATTCAGGGGTAATGGTTACTCCCCAGATGCATGTGATATACAACATATATGCAATGTAGATTGCACCAGATACACATTTTGACACGATTCGTGAAAACTTAAAATAACCCAAAGAACCAAACCATCGAAAATAATTCAGCTGCCAAGGTCCTAACCCTAGGACATCCTTCATTCACACCAAGGGACAGCCCTGGTATTGATCTGCACCAAGGGAAAGCCTATGCACATCAGTTAGCTCTGGGACATACCTTGCCGAAAAAGATAGAACTATTCTGATCCTGTAAACCTGCAGAAAACTTATTTTCATAGGCATATTTCACCTCCTTGCCTATTCGAGGGTCCCTGCGTGTAGCAGGTGCACTTCGTGCATACTCCGAAGTGCCATGGTTGCACGCAGATCACTACGGAATTTAGGGAAACAACATCCGGGAACCAGTTTGCTTTTCTAGGATTCTGGCTTGCGCGATTGGGATTCGAACTACTTCGTGTGCTTTGATGCTGTCTGGACGGGCCAGCCATGCTAAACTCTAAACGCCTGGTACCCTGGCCTTGGGGGTGATTGCTGGGTGAAGTGCACATTTAGATTTAGGCCAGGCCGGGGTAGAGAAAGGCCTAGATGAATCTCGGTCTTCACCTTTGCTGCGCGCATCCTGTACCAAAAGACATTCAGGTGTTCCAGATCACAATATATCTCTCAGTCCTAAATTTGAGGATCGAGTTTTACTTCTAAACCGCTATCAACGGTCCATATTTAGACGAGTCAAGAAAATCCCGAGATCACGTATCACATCGTAGGGAACTAAGTTGCCGGAAGCTACGCATGTGGGGGAAGTATAGCTGAGGTTGCCACGTGGGATTCTGGAGAGAGGTCGATACTTTCGAGGCCTCGAGCATAGATCTGATTATCCCCTAGGTAAAGATTACAGTAAGAAAGGTGCCTACCTATGAGGATAGGGTGTGACCCTGTATTGGGACCATGTGGTTTGCGCAGCGTTCTTCCGTATTTTGTAATCCAGCCACATGTTCAATCTTGCCGGGACGACAATCATGACAGGGAGTGTAGTTGAGTCACAGGAACTCTCTTTGCAAGACTAGCGAACACACTAGTGGAATCCCGTGCACGCAGCACTTTGTGATCAGAGCCTTATCGGGTAAATTGCCTATTCGGTTGTGCTTTTGGGGAAATAGACGTCCATTTCTCTGGGCGCTCGGTTAGGAGTTGCCGCGCTGACAGTTATCTCTTGAAAACGTTGTCAGCTTTGTGGCTTTCATCTTGTACCTTTGACTCGCTAGACTCCAAAATCTCAGTTGTTCTCAGACACTCCGACCATGTATTCATTTGTGACAAAGTCCGAGTAGGTCTTTTCGCACTTGCGCAATTATTCAGATTCTGATCTACGGGCTTATTCGGAGTGGGTAAGAGATGATCTTTAATATGACACAACTGGGGGCTGTTGAATTGTGTACATTACGCATCCGAAATCCCTACAGGCCGTTTATTTGCCGTGTGTATTGTGTTTGTATGTCAGAGCTTATCACGTCATATATGTATGTAAAATACGACGTAACTGCACCCGTTCGTGGTCGACCCCACTTGCTGAAAACAGATAGTGTAGGATAGATTATGGTAGTGAAGCACGTCATAGACTTTGCATAGTTTTCATGAATTATTGAACCAGACTTTTTGTCGTAAGAAATGCCCTGAATGAGATGTGGAGTAGTCCCGGTTAAACGGGGTTTCACGGCGAACTCCGGTGTGGCAAAATCCCTTGAAACGCTAGAAGCCTTCTAGAAGGATTCTGGAAGACGCCAAGAATCCTTCATTTTTGCGTAGTTCCATGGTTCAGCGGTCCACTATACACCTAGGTTGGTGCCTGTTTCGCCTATTACTCCTCTTTTCTGTTGATTAAGGGGCAGTATCGTGGAAGTTGTTGTTTCTGGTGTTGATTCTTTGTTGTTTTTCTCCTGTTCCTGAAATTCCTCCTGATTTCGGGGAGACTAAGGCTTGGCATATGTCAATTGCCAATTTTCGGCCATGTCCACACTAGGGATTACTTAAAATCTTGACCAAGCCAATTAGGTAAATGTTAACGAGAAGACATATGGGGCCTGTTTATATATAGTAGTCGTCTGTACATGTTTCACTTTTCCCGCCTTTTTCTACTATGTTGTGTATAGTTGTAAGCACCTAGCTGTAAAAGCCGACAAACTGATGTCTAAGAAATAAGCATCTAAAAGGACAGTTTCAAAGACCATCAAAAGTTACATGACAAGGCCACATAAGTTGCCGGCTATTGTTTTTGTGTATGTCAAACTTGGAACGGGTTCATACAACTTGGGCAAGAGTCTCATATTGGATCCACTTACATCTGATCCACGATGTACGTAAGAATAAGGCCGCAAAACAAGAGTGAAGGACAAACTTCGGATAGGTGGTTACCATACGGTGTACTTCGTACAAAGTATACCCACTGGGCAGGCAACTCCACCTTCACGGTAGACACGGCAGAAGAGCCACACGGGAACAAAAGGACCTTCACGTCCACGTGGCAGATCGGCAAAACATCGGATAGAGAGAATAGCCGACTTACATATGCAGCTACCGTCGTACCCGGTTAGCCCGTGAGATCCGGCTAGCTAATTTATTGCAAAACCTCTTTTTATTATCTTTCAGTACGGAGTAATGTATTCACCGGAAGTAACCTTGAGCATTTTTCTTTCCTTTAAAAAAAAACATTAATCTATGATTAATTTTTTTTCTCTCACGCTCGCTCAGTGCTCGTACGTTGTAGACACAAATATCGCAAGTCACAAAGAAAGTAAGACAACTGAATCAACTAATTATCAAGTGAAATTAACACGTGGAGCAACCTAATGTCGGGCGATCATTACCAAAACTAGGCCCTGCTACTTGTGCATGGTGTCAGGTTTCTTAGAGATTTTGAAAAGCACGCATTTTCAAAGACAGGCAGAATTTTCAGACTGAAGCTTCTGGGCGAGTCGCGTGTCAATTTACCTCTTTTCCTCTACTATGAAATCGAACCCTCGTGTATACAAACATATACATTCAACGGTGCAATGCCCAATACCTTACCCATTTTTGGCGGATAGTTGACGTCTCGCACAGCATCCACAGTCCCGGCTACAGCAACTTCCTCTGCCAATACAATCTTCAACTAGTTCTTCCTGGAAAAATCAAAGCTGGAATGCTCGTCACTGACATGTAGCCCCTTCTCAACGATCCCACACGAAGCTCACACTCCTTTCGTAGAGAGCCTGCACTCGATGGCGACGTGACTATTTGAGTTCCTTCAACTCTTCTTCGAGTCATCAAGTTGTACGTGATTATCATCGACGCTTGCAAGCTTTTTCACAGCTCGAATCTTGTTATTCAACGTATCTTCTCGTTGGACGGTTGACTGGAGAGAGTTTTTCAGTCAAAATGGTATTGATGAAGTCAACATCATCTTTTGAAAAATTGGTCATGACAAACCTACCCACCTGTATTGGTATTTCTGTAAGTCGACTTGGCAAACAAAGTCCCACACTCTCTAAACATCTTGAAGGTCTAGAGATATGAATAACTGGAGCCAGAGGTAAAGTCTTAGCGATCAGGAGAGGAGGCAGTGAGAATGATAGCAGAGTCCCGAATCATTTCATCTGACCAGTACGGTCTTACCTCACCTCATAAAATTCCAATCTGGCTCCAAATAAGGACAGTTTTTTAGCGCAACGGGCTCTTTACTTCACTGGGTTAGTGATCTTACATGCAGGCCCTAGTCGGGTACCAGATCTTATCTTTGAAGCACCAATGAAAGATCAGAACTAGCTATTCAATCTAATTGGCTCATTGAAAACACTAGATCGGAGCAAGACAAAAGTCGCAGAAGGAAGTAATTGAGGAACTGGTAGTTCCCTACCTACGCACGCCTCTCTCCTTCTTTCCTCAGTGGTGCCTTTTAACACATCAAAACAAGACCCTCTCGGAAGAACGTCTGGGACTCTTGGTTCTTTTTCTTCTGCCTGTCGAAATGAGGAACGAGTCACTAGTGGATTTCGGACACTCGTGTGTGCCATCGCTTTCGCCGTGGGGCCATTCATGTTATTTGTAAAGCGGAGGGAGGGACAGCAAGTCTTTCTAATCTAGCAATCTTCAAGTAAAATCAAGCAGTAACTGACCAGCAAATTCAACAGTGTGTTCTTGATAGAGCAAGCCATCAGGCTTGCCGCGAACTCGAATGTGGCCGCGCAGGCTGACGCACCTTTGGCACAACGCGACAACGTGAGACTCCTCACTCCCTCGAATACTACATCGAGACAGGTACTGACAGATCTTTGGACAAGTTAGAGTAACCAAGACCTTACCTCCCCACCTCTACTTGGCAATGCCCAAAGATTCGGAGGTTCCTCGGGTCGTTTATAGCGAGCTCAAGTTGACACCTGAGCCCCGAGTTTAGCACCACAGACCTCTCCAGAGCCTGCAAGATCTTCTTGAGAGTTTTGATGCATGATAGCATTTCAATCTAGACGAGTGGACCTATTTGGTCTTTTCATGTCGTCTACAGGGACAGCAATCATGAAAATCACTTGCGCAGCCAATTGCATACCTGCTAGACCTATGTTGTAGGTTTGGTTTAAAAACACATGGAAACGATCTTTCTTGTGCTAAAGCAAAGATTATGCTGACACATGGCAATGTCAAGATGGTCACCTGCGATCTCTTCAGCCCATCACAATATTGAATCTCATGATTCCAGCCTGCCGAAACCGCAAATCAGTGTTTTCTTCATGTGGCGCGTGATGCCATGAACCAGGGCAGGGCGACAAACATGACACTAGATGTTGGGTTTCCTTTACTCACTGCTTATAGCTCGGAGGAAGGCAGCCTATAACCTGTCTGATGCAGTACTCTGTTAGTGCACTCGCACAGACTACTCGGATTCTTGCTCTTTCCGGGTAGGCTCTTTCCCGCCCCCAATTCATTAAGAATGGAGTAGGGCGTTCATTTGAAGACTATGATTGCAGAGACCCCTCAGACTATCATACCACTTAGCTTGTGCTCGTCAGTGTGTTTTCAGATGACATGGTTTTTGTCTCGTTATTTGCAAAGACTTTTGGTTGCTTCTTGGATGTATTCATCATGGCCGTTGGGCATTAAGGATGACTTCATCCTGAGGCCGGTGAATGCTTCGAGATGTCACAGCATTTGAAGTTTATCCTATGCTGAAAATACACATATGGCAAGGCAAACGCCGGCTTCCACCCTTCTACGACTCTTTACCACATCTAGAATGGTCACTAAAGGGTACTGAAATGACATTCCGGAGTTATCTGCCTATCTTTATTGCAGATGCAGTAAATGTAGTCGTTGCTGAAGATATTCATTAAATGGCTTGCATCCTACTCTTGGCTGTGGAGCTTCTACGCCAATGTGGCTTTGAAGGATGCAGATCAATCTGCTTTGTTTCATGGACACTGCATTTGATTGGTTGATCTTGTTACGCAGATGCTTTCTTGATATCGTGAGCCCGGCTTGGTCGGTCACTGGCATTGTATGACGACAGTTCTACACAAAGCCTGCAGATAACCATGTCGAGAATCATGCATCTCGCAACGGGAACCGAGGTGCATTACTCACTTGTGCGGATTTTAGGGAACGGAGGGATCTACTAATCTGTCCATGGGGACCAGATCTACACAGGTTCTTCGATCATCAATTCTATTCTAAGACCGAGAAGTCTGCGTATTTACTATTCCCGTATATTTCTCACCAGTACCATTTCCCATGCCACAGCTTAGATTGTTGCCCGCTACCGTGGGGAAGACGGAAGTTGTCCGACTGATGCTGATCCGGAAATTCCACTCAAATCTCTCTGGATGTAACGGAAACTTGTGGAGATTCAAAAAATTCATATCGCCCTAAGTAGGTGGCTTTCAAGGCTAAAAGGTAACCTCTCCCATTCGAAGGACTCACCCGAGATAACCCTCCGATTCTCACTTCGACTGACTTTTACAATCGCCGAGACTAGTCTCTGCTTGGCAGGCTAAGCCAAGCAAGCCACGAAGCGTTCAGAAATGCGATACCAACTTTCTAACGGGAAAAGGACACTCTATCCTCTTCTGCATCTGCGCCAAAGCGGGGTAGTCCGAGTGAAGCCAATGACCGAAGATCCTTGACGTTCGCCCCAGCGTACAGCATTACAGCGAGTCGTCCATTCGCTTCTCGTTTTCTACAAAGACTTTTTGCTTTGACACAGAACCCAAGCCTATGAAGGCTTCGGTCCGATCAAAGACACCTACCTATCTGGAGAAAACAAAGTCAAGAGAACACCCTGTTGCACGAATGTCTCATTTGATTAATCAACACGTCGTGGCCTACGGAGTAGATTTACCCCACCTCTCTGAAACCGGGAATTCTCCTAATTTCTCTCGAGACAGTCAGTTTCTCTCCCAAGAGCAAGACTCCGAAGTTATTTCGGATTACCGCATGGTCAAATGCACCAGGGCTTTGTGCATATGCACAACCAGACACATGGGCATGTAGCCATCCTTAGACGGAAGAATATTGATCTGCAGGGCTGCAGTATGCGCCGGATTACTGACGGCTAGTCGGGCTCTGGGACTAGGACTAGATAGGGATGAATGGGGTATCATACATCAGAGTGCATCAGAGCTATGCGAGCATTGCAGGACTGTGGAGTGGACTTTCTCAACATCTTTTGTCTTAGATTAGCTCCACTGCTCTCATGCTCTCCTGGTTTCATAAACAAGAACTAATCGTTATTATACGCAGAGTCATTTGATTTCCAACTCACTCACATGTGGATTCATAATGTGACCTTGGCTTCATAAAGAAAGCCTCCAAATCAATGAATTGCCCTTCTTCAAGCTATAAGTTCCGCATGGCACCCCTGGTGGTCGGTGCCCTACATGCAGAGTAATATACTCAATGCACAACTTGCCATACTGACGCACCAGCCCCTCCGTTTACCAGGTATGGACAAAGAGACCTAAGAATCAGACCTATCACTTCCAACACATGGCAGGCCACATGTACATATCGAAAAGCCGCGTGTCTGGTGGGGGGGGGGGGGGAAAGAAATCAAATAGGGTATAGAATGGCAATGTAGAAACACCAGAGTTACATAGTTCTGAGAGAAATATGACACGAAACATCTCTGTTACTGTGTGAGTGACTGTACGAGCAAGGAGATGAACGCAAGGCAGTGATATTTGAAAAACTACCAGAATTCTCGACAAAGGCTCCCAAGCACAAACTACCGGAAGCAAAGGGGGAGTATGCAAGATCTGACTTTCTGAAGAATTAACCAGCCAGTTTGGAAACTACTCACATGGGATCCATACAACATACAAACCACCCAACTACCCTCTCATAGATATGTTATAAGCCTACGCCGATCACTGAATGCTAATCAGATGACATCCACGCCAAGTCTGGCAGCACTATTTCTACAACACCCTCAGTTTTAAGCACACGCACTCTGTATCCGGGAGCATGCATGCCCCATCAAAACAAAGACAGGGATGACGGAATTGATCATACCCCAGCAACTGGGATAGACGATGGAAAAGAATGATCGGCAGATTTAAATGGAGGATCAGGTTTGGGACTAGTGAAGTTCGCCAATAACTTAAAAAGACCGAGCTAGGGGGTGCTTGCTTGGCGGTTGTTTTACATGTGGTTGTGCACATGTATAGTGTGCATGCTGTCGGTGCATGGTGTTTTGTGATATGTCTGATTCCGGACGTCGGGTTGAGTTCGGAGCATATAGTGGTGTGAGGGGTATAAATCTCCTAGAGCTGAGTTGACGTGTGCATGTTAACTTGTATAGAATCCCAGGGACAGTGGTGCGTTGGTATGTATTGGGATTATGCTGGTTTATTCCTTGTATACTGGGAGAGTATAAACGACCTTGATGTCAGTTCCAGCACGCCTCGGTGGTGAATGGCTGGGAATCAGTTCAGATGTATTCCAACTGGCACCTCAAATCGCGGAAAGCCAAACCAGTGCCAAAAAAAAAGTAACCAAGTAAAACACGCTCGCCAAATATCCAATTTGCTGACAGGTCTATTCGCGCCACCACTGGCCCAAAGCACCACCGGAGCCCGCCATTTCAATGACCTCCTCGAAACTGATTTCCACACGGAACATCTGTCCATCAGCAGTGCCGTTCCCACTACCAACAGGAGTCACAAGTCCCCAGCTGAGTAGCTTTTCCCAGGACTCTCGCGCCACATCTCGGCCCCAGACACGGCCAGGTGTGGCAGCAGCTCCAGACACCGAGGCAGATATCTTTGCGGAGGTCAGGAGTCGAACGTATTCTGCGTATGCAGCAGGAAAAGAAAGTGCAAGTGGTGCCATGGTCTGTGACTGGGAACCATCGTTTCCCGGTTCGAACAAGGCTGCCAAACGTGTTGCGGCCACTAGCAAAGCCAGTGGCAATGAGGAGGGACTGGATGATGTAATGGATGTGGAGAAGGGGAGAGGTGCTGGGTCAGGACAATCGAGGGATTGGGAAGCGAAGCTTTTCGGAGTAGGGATTTCAGGTATGGGTGTGTCAGGGATCGATACACTTTGTAGTAGGTCGCTAATGGGGAGAAGTGCGCTGTTGAAAAATTCCTTTGCTGATTTGGATTGGTTGTAGATACGCTTGAGGTGGAATTGGAATTCCTTGTCATTCCACACATGCTATTTTCAAGAGCAAAGTTTAGCAAAGATTCAATTGACTGCATAAAGGGAAACATAACAGATCTGACCTTCAAATATTCCTTCCATCCCCCAAGTAGTGTATTCCATTTGTCTGACTCTACTAGAGTGCGTTCAGTCCCAAGTTCATCTGCAATGTCAGCCATTTCGTCGTCGCTGAGATCCAGGCTCCCTAGGCAGATATCTGAAAAGGCCTCGAAGGATCGTGGTAGAGGGACATAGGTATAGCGATGACTAAATCGACTCTTCACACGCTTCTCGAGCATTTCAGTTACGTCGACCTTGGTCGTGAGTCCAATGACCGCGATGGGGGCTTTGCGGGCCTGAGCAATGTCAAACAAATTATATAACAGGGTCTGTCGTGGGTGAGTGACGAATAGGTCAAACTCATCCAACAAGATGACAATGGATTTCGCAGCAGTCTTTGATCCTGGGTCCCCAGAAGCTCCGAAGAGCTCCTCTGGGTGCGACAATAAAGCCAAGAGCGTCGCCATCGTATCCGCATAAGAACTGACCTTGGCTGCATCATCCTCGGTATGCATCTCGCGGCCAAGTTGGCGCCACATCTCTCGCAAAGCGAGACGGTCATCTGTGTGCAAGAATCCATTGAGACGAACGACGTGGAAATCGTTGGTATGTTCCTTTCTAAGAGACGAAATAATGGATTCCACAATCGCGGTCTTGCCGCATCCTCTGGATCCAAGAAGAAGCATGGAGTTACCCTCGCCAACGGAGACGGTCTGTTCAACGAGCTGATAAACTTTTTGGTATTCAGGTTCGAGCCCTCGCACTGGAATCTGCCGTTTCCCGGACAGCTTTTCGAGAAGAATGGTCGAGAGAACGCGCATTTCACCCCCAAGGCCTGTTTGACAGAGCACTTGCAACTTTTCAGCATATTCCGGCAACGGTTCGGAGACATCCACAGTCTCGTGCACCTCCGGCTGATCATGATACAGATCTGGCTGCAGTTGCATCGTAACGAGATCATCCAGGCCGTCATGATACTCAGGCGAAGGCAACTTCTCTTTCGGCTCTACGGCCACGGCTTTCTTAGATCTGGGCTTCGCGACGCTTCTCTTCGATCTTGTCCTTGTGACTGTACGAGGGGCGGGTTCCGGGGACGGCTCATCGAGGTCCATATCATCATCGTCATCATCGTCCTCCTCCTCCTCCTCCTCTTCTTCGAAGTCAGGCTCATCTTCGTCTTCCACCGGAGATTGTCGCGGCTTTTGCACGCTTCGGGCGGTACGCGCACTTCGTGAAGGAGTGGCTGTTGGTTTTCTCCTCGATGAGGGTGTCACGACTTCTTCCTCGTATCTCTTTGGTGTTTTGCGCTGCCGTCCACTAGATCGTATCCCCACCCTTGCCGGGGTTTGAGCCTCATCTTTCTTCTCCTCCCCGTCTTGACCTGTCGTTTCGGTGTCTGGGTTGTCTTCGCGGGTAGATCGACGCCGTGAGGCACTTTTCACCGGCGTGGGGGAAGTTCTGTGGTGATCGGGAGATGATGGGATGGAGAATACGTCGTGACTATCATTTCCCATCTCAATATCTCCATCAACGTCCTCGGAGACCCTTCTCCTCTTAGATGCTGGGGCCATGGCTGTAGTTTGAAGAAACGAAATCGCCGATATCGGGGAGTTTCCAATTCAATCTAAAGGGATTTCGTCGGGGCAGAGATCTCAACGTGGGTAGTACTTGTGCTTAACCTGTCGGATAAGTGTTGTCGCCTGTGTCAATTAGAATCAGATTCAATCAGTGCTGTTTTGGGCCGATCAGCTCTCACCCCAGGTTTGGACTTACAACAAGAAATCAAGGGCGCATTTCTTGATTGTCAAGATTAAAGAGCGCAGCCGATTCGGATCCGATTCGAATAGAAGTCCTGCGTTGTTCAAAGGCCGGTTCAATTGCTGTTTCATTTGCTCAAACAACAATTGGGCGATTTTCGCCTCAGGCCGAGACGCGTGACGTGAAGTCAGGTGCTTCCCGACACGTTCACAAGGAGCTCTCCCTTGAGTGGGCTCGTTCTTCAACATTATCTTACTTTATGGAGTTGTACACTCAAAATTGAAATTCATACACGACAGACGTGAAGAACTGGAGTCGCCGAACTGTATCCATACCGAGCTACTACTAGTACGTAGTGACGGAACAGGAAATCACAGGACTCGCTTTGCAAAAGAACATCATGTTTCTCTGAAAAAAAGGTTCAAGAATTCGACAAAAGAAGCAGATCGATCTAAATGGCCTAGTCTTTCAAGATAAATGTCATCGCCCCACAATACAGGCATTCTAAAAAAATCTAAGAAGCCATGGAAATACTAGCAGAAGCTGGAGGAGCTTCCTTTCACACACCTCCACTTTATCGGCCGGAACGGCTGTTACTGAAAGCGATATTCAACTTGTGATAATCCCAGTTCCGGGCGAAGAACAACACAGCAAAGGTCAAAACCGGTACCATCAGCACGTCGAGTACGTAGAGAAAACAAAACTCCCCGTAATGCCAATCACATTGTCGCCGTCGGTCAGGCCAAAGGCGATAGGATACAGCATTCATAATAGATTCAGCCACCCAGCAAGGACAAGGTAGCCCCGTTCAAAACCAAGCCAGGCAGCAGCCTCGCGACTCTCGTTGATAGTGCTCATGGCGAGGACGACCCAGCCAAACGTAGCAAAGGCAAAGAACCCCCATGTGTAGCCCGTAGTGGTGTAGCCTGATACGAGGTAGCTCATAACCCTCTACCAGGCGATGGCGATGTTGTAGACGATAGTAGTCCAGGAAACACCTGGGATCAGACCAAGCCCAAGTACCAGTAAAGGGAATGCAACGGCCCAGTTACTGTTTTGGTGTAGAACATCTGGCGAGCTACGCCATAGCCGAGATTATTGACTTGCTCAACGGCACACCATCCAAGACCGGATGTTTGGGCGTATTATGTTATGCTGCCAACTAAGAGGGCGAAGGTAAAGAGGTAGTGGAAGACCCTCTCGCTTTCCTTTTTTGCAAGGGAGAGCACTATAAGGGTGGTCTGTGAATTTCAACATGTGAGCAAAGTGGTTAGGTGCAATCATGTCAGGGTTTTTGCCGGGGCACAAGGAAACTCACGAAATGCAAAACGTAGATGGCCGTGATAGCCCAAAGCCAATTAGACCCGTGGAGGTATTGGTGTTGAGGGCGTTCTTTGTTTGCCCAGTGAGACTGATCATTGATTTTTAAGGTCTTTAGCTTCGTAAGACCTCACTTTTCTTTGGCCGTTTATATCAAAGAAGATATGAAGAAGGATGGGATAGAGCATTTTGTCGAGCAAAGGGTGGCTTCTTATAAGGATGACACTAACATAACTCGGCCATTACGGCAAGTCTAAGGTTCCAAGGTCTGACCTTGATAACATCAGGAACCCGGAGACTGGTTGGCTGATCTCTGTACTTGAATGTGTAGAATCATTTTTGCCGTGGACGGTGCATATTTGTAGGTTGGCGTAAAAATACAGTGGAGCGTCTTCATTCATGGTGCTCCCTAGGAGAGAATCTCAATACAGTAGCTTAATAAGACGACTTAATCATTGGTTGTTTATCCTGCGTTCTTACATTCTAGCTGATTGATCGACAAATTGCCTCCAGTCGCATATAGAGAAGCTTTTCTCCGACGAATGTTCCGAGGCGCTTGATGCTGTTTTAAGCTAAGACTCTGTATACCACTAGATCTAAACTGGAAGTACATAGCCACGTATTAGGAGATGGGGGGAAAAGCCGCAGACCTCCTCGATTTGAAGAGTCTTCCAACTCCCAAAGGGCTTCTTGATAAGTTCACAGTAGCCAAGAAGGTTGCGACCAAGCGCTTTATAAGAGAAGCGGGTTATGGTCTTGGCCTTTCTAACCACCGGGGCAGTGGTAGTGCCGCCTTTTCTGATGCGGCAAATAGGCGTTGACAAGATTCTTCTGTATCGGACAAAAGAGGTCGATGGCTTTTGCAAGAGTTATCCGTCAATTACTAGCGTGTTTTCCTGACGAGAAGTAGTCGCTTTCTAATAGAGCCGGCTATACGAGCCGTCGTTCACATAGTTCGGTAGGTATCTTAACTTGCATCTTGGTGCAAAGGTGATAAGAAACAAGTCTATATTTATCACCATATTACCTACGTAGGTATGAAAAATGGGTTCTTTTCGGTTTTTCCGACAATTGCAGTCTAGTGAGGAGATTTTTTCAAATGTTGCTGGGACGATTCACTACTCGAGCCGCTGCAACATTCCTTTTATAGTATTCAGGTCCTGTAGAAGAAATCTAGTTAAAATAGTCCACATCACTTAGGTATTCAGTTTGGTGTATTGTTTCCTGGAGACGATTCGAATATACTTCTCGATTAGGAGCTTACAAGCGAGTGAAAATGAGAAACGCCGTTTTAATCTTGGAGGACGGTAGTATAGGCCTTCCGAATGATGAGACCCTCGGAGATGATGTCAATCACTCCATGGAAAGAACAATTACCTTTTACATCAGCCGCCTTTTACCTCGGTCAGCTTACGCAGAAAGGGAACTCACTAAGGGTGGACAGTAATAGATTCAGCAGTATAAAGAAAGAAACCGAGCCCATTTTTTTTGGATCGGTTGGCTTGATCTTCTGTATTCTCAAATCGGAGGATTGATTCTTTCTAAAAATGTTTGGATACCATCACCTTCTGCAGCCCGTGCCGTTGCTAACGCAAGAAAAACAAAAAGAGAAGATACAGAAAAGCAGTATAGGTTCATTTTAAGTGAACACATCCCCAGTCAAGCATATCTCATGGTCGGCTTCACCACAGCCGAGGTCCAATATAGGTAGGTGATCCGAGCTACAGCGGAGGTACGTAGCCTTAGCTACCTCCTCTTCCAATTCTTCCTAACCCATTGGAATTTCGCGTTTGTCATCCCTTTCAGACACCATGTCAAAGAGAGCAATAAGCGCTCCATCCAGGAAACTGGGTGAGTTTGAAGAGCTCGTATACGAGTATACGGCGCAAGCGGGCGTGGGGAACGAGGGAGTAAGTACCACGTGCAGCATGAAACAGATCAATCGCATTTCCCATCTATGCACCACTAGTACACAGTGATTTCCAGCGCTTACATTCTCTCAAAGAAGCACTGGGACATCGACGCTCGCGGTTGTAACCTCCGCTTCGAATCTGCAACCCGCGGTCCTCCGGCTACAGTCTCGTTCCTGTTGACGATCACGCCTGCGCTCAGCAATTACTTGGGTAATCTCCACGGAGGCTGTGCTGCTACTTTGATCGATGTTCTATCAACCACTATCTTGTTGGGTGTTTCCGAGCCGGGGAAGTTCTCTGTCGGAGGTGTCAGTCGCAATCTTAAAGTGACTTATCTACGGCCTGTACCTACCGGGACTGAGGTACGTCTCATTTGTGAGGTTATTCATGTTGGAAAGAGGTTGGCTTTGCTTCGGGCTGAGATTCAGAGGGCGGAGAGTGGGGATATTTGTGTGATCGGTGAACATGAGAAGGCCAATACCGATCCGGAGATGACGCAGAGGATGTAATTTGGGTTCGTATCTGGTTTTTGGATACGGAGAGCATCATAAGCTTTCGGGCTTCAAGAGACCGACACAAGAAAAAAAATTGTATAGATCTCCTTTGCATCAGCAAAATTTACAAATCGATCTATTGTACGAGCGAAGAACGTATAATCCAGGGGAATGGTAGTGGCCAGAAATTCTGTGCTTCTTTGGTTATGATAGGGAAGTGCGAACAAAGAACAAAGAGACGACTATCGCGCATTTCCAAGAGAAATATAATCAACAAAACTAAACAGTACTAAATTATCTGATTGGCAAGGCAAACACGCCTTTTTACTCCGTGGCCAGTTGCTGGTCCTCCCGGAGACCCTCAACCTTCAACTCCTCACCAGTGGCACGGCGGTACATATCACGGACGTCGTCTGGGAGAATTCATTAGCCGACAATTATTATAAAGTTTCAGTCATGTAATAGCTTACCGGTCGTAGTCTCGAAGTGTGATGTCGCGTCATAGCTCTTAGAGATGAAGATGTTGGACTCCTCGCCATTGTCGATGGGCTCGTAGAGAGGGATGGGGGGACCCATGAACTTCTCCTCGATCTTGCCCAGGCGCTCAAAGCCAGCCTCAAGCTCAAGGTGGTGGTTGGCATCATTCTCGGCGATGGTGGACACGATGGCTATGTAGTAGCCCTTAGGGCAGACGTTATGCGCGGACGAGACCATGGCAATGTAGATGTCTGGAGAAGTTAGTGCTTTGTTAATAAATTGGGACAATGATAAACCCACCGTGCTTGCGTCCAACCTGGGACTGGGGAATAATCAGCTGCACGGAGTCGCTGCCGTCGGTCTTATCGATAGGGTGGTTCAGAATGCAGATAGCCTTGAGCAAGTATCCGGTGACCTTGGATTTGTTTGGGAAGTAAGAAGGATCAGCGATGATCTTCTTAGTCTTGGTCTCAAACTTCATGGCCTCGGATTGGTCATCGCGGTCTTTCATGGTCGCCTTGATACCGGAAACCTTGCCGTTCTCGTAAAGCACCTCGTCAACGTCGGTGTTCAACATGTAGGTACCGCCGTAGATGGCAGACAGACGGGCAAAGCCCTGGGGTAGCTCGCCAAGGCCGTAGAGAGGGTAGATGTATGGTGATTTTCCATAGCGTGCCATCGAGTTGACATACAAGCGGATGCGGTTAATGGTTTCCACTGCGGCGCCGTTCCGGTTGATATACTCGTCCGAGGGGTACAAAGCCATAGAGTGACCGACAAAATCGCGAGTGTTATCCTCGAGGCCAAAGAAGTCGTAAACCTCCTTCATCGTGCACGCGTGGACGTCCAATCCTGGTCTCGATTAGCACACCCGAGCTGACCCATTTTGAAATAGTACTCACCCTGGTGAGTGGCTGGGTCATCCTCCTTGAAATCACCAACCCACTCGAGGAACTTCTTGGCACGGCGCTTTTCAAACATGCCCATGAGCGATGAGCGGAGAGCTTCACCGGCGTCCGAAGGCACCTTGGCCACGGTCGCCTTAAGGCCGTTGCCCTGCTGGACATAACTGCCAGCAATCTGCTTGAACTCGAGGTACCGGGTAACATCCGTAGACACCAAAATGTTGGTCAATTCTCCATTGGACATGAGCAGCTTGGGAACCAAGTCGATGTTCCAGTCATTGACCCTCCCGTATTTCTTCCACGGCTCCTCGCCGGGGCTGACGTTGCCGTATTTCTTGAAAAGCTGCGAAGAGTGTCAATATGAGAACTTGGGAGTTAGCCAGTATACATACTGCTTCAATGTTGACGGAAGCTGCTTCTCTGTGGCTATTATCAGCTATTTTGATCTTGGTGCCGTCATCGTGAGCTTCTCCAACTTACCCTCCGTAGTGATCATTGCGATCGATGTGAAGGACCTTGTTACCCTTGACACTGAGGACACTGTAGTCGAAAATAATGAGAAAGTTGTGGAATCATGAAAATCAAAGCTCAAAGACCTACCCAGACAAAACACACTCGGTCAGGCCTAAAAGAATTGGGTCAGTTGTTAACGTTTGGGGGGGATGGCGGGGTAGCAACATACCAGTGCCGAGCACCACAACATCGTACTCTGGGGCGATCTCGTCCATAGTGAATATGTAAGATTTTTAGGTGTAGAGAAAGATAAAAAGAAGATTCAAGAAAATGAGAAGAAGAGAGGAAGTTGACTACCTCCCCGCGGATCAACGAAGCGGTAAGAAAGGGGAACTATTTGACGGATCCGCCACTAGTGAGTTACCTCACGATATTAATGAAATGGGATAATTTTCGCTTCAATGAACCCCTGAATATGTATCGACTTGGATTATTTCATCTCAGGGGTAAATATAGTCGGTTTCCGATATTCTTAGGTACAAGTATGATTTAAAGGAGGTTTGGAGTGTCAGATGATGAACCATCTCTCATATATCTTGTGTATATTTGGACGTACCCACTACTAAAATCACCTTGAAAAGCTAATGTTACATGCTTAATTGACCCTCGGAGACTCGGCGCATGTCTCCCTTGACCGGGTGTGTCTAAACCCCTTCTCATACTTATTGTTCCTTGTCTTGGGCTGCTCCATTGCCCTGCTGCTCGACGTCAACGTCATCGAGCTCGTAAAAGTTCTCAGGGCGGTATCCACGCTTGTACATTCGTGAAGCATCCTCCCAAGCATACCAGCGTTCACGTAGAACGTGCTTGATGTTTTTCATGGTGCCTCGAATCTAAAATGATCACATGAGTCAGTGGGGTTCAGACAATTTCAACCATTTGATAGTCTCCTCGGAAGTAACGAAGAAAATGTCTTGGTGCAGTTTTCCAGGATGTATATAGATAAATAAGACGGCTTATACAGCCGGGGAAAAACTCACCACTTTGTCGCGTTCCTGAGATTCGAATCCACCATAACCAGCTTGGATTCTCTCTCTCTCAAAATCTGACGTGGCAATGCGGTTGCGTTCCCGGACGCATACATGCCACAGACCGTGGAGGTCCTCCCAACTCCTTTCGCGGAGTTCCTGGATGCCCCACTGACGACCTAGATTGCCTAAATTAGCACTGCTCATAGAACAATTAGTCTGCAAATTGGAGACCCATAGAACTGACCATGAGTATTGTCGTAAGCTGGGGTAGGTAATGCTTCCCGGTTAGGGGGGAAGAAGGCCCAGAGTCCATGGTTGGGGTTTGTTTCACGTGGCTGCATGTCTTTTGGCGAAACAGGTTTGGGCAATGGCCATCTTGACACGGCGAATGGGGTTCGGGGACCGGATCGGTTGATGGCCGATACACCACGATTTTTGCTCTTGTCGCGTCGAGGGTTGGCGCCGACGGAGGCAGTGGAAGAAAAGCTCGAAGACTGGACGGCTGACAGGGTCACAGAGGTGTGAAGTGATGGCGCGAGGTAAGTAGGAGGCAATTCAGCCATAGCCAGCCCTCTCAGGCGGCTAGCAATGCGTGGAACCTGCTGCATGATTGGGATGGCTTTCCCCAGGATGGTCGGGGTCGGAGACTGATGGCCTTTCTTTTCGCAAAGGCGGCAAGTCTGGTCACGTGCCATAATAAACTCAAGATCAGCTAAGATGCTACCAGCCTCGGATTCATCGGGTCCTTGTTATCTTTCTTTTTTTGGGATCATTTTGTGTCCTTTGATCACTATCTTTAATTCAGTAAACGACAATTTTAACTTGGCTATCTTTGAAGTATCGTTAATCCTTACCTCTTGCGCCTTGCGCGGTTATTTGCGGACTTGGCTTTGCATTCAGTACCCGCGCGTCTATTAACCCAATTGACTACTCGGCGGAGAAGTGCCGCATCAAGCGTGACCAAGAGGCCTTTGTGGATTACTTTCCCCTCCACAGGTTCACCTCCAGTCTATTACTCGGCCAGTCCTCTTTTCAAACCCTCGAAACATCCCGGGGTATCGGGCATCACCTTTTTCTCAAGACACACCGACTATGAATAGGCCAGGTTCGTCATTTTCCTTCAATGCCTTCGCAAACCCTTGTGCTTCTCTTATCTTTCATTTACCTCTGCGGAGTACTTGGCATAGTCGGACTTGCTTTGGTGCTGGGCTATTTTCTCATTGATAGTGAGAGTTACTGAACGTTGTGGAAGCTTTGGGGAGTCCAGTTGGTTTTGCATTTGCGACCGAGACATTTTCAAGGACATGCCCTCACATTCCTGTGGTGTTGATCTGAGCAGCTCTTGATGCGACGATCGTGCTGACTTGTCACGCTTGTGTCAGGGCCTGGCTTGCAGCCGCTGAGAGGCATGTCCGGCTTCTCCATGCAACAGGAAGCACAAGCTCGAACTGCATCTTTAGCTTCCGCGCGGTTATCAAACGGGAAACTTGGTGCGATTGCCTCAAGTCATAATTTCTGGACGCTTAAGATTATTTTCAAGAAGAGATGCTAACATAAGAGTATCAACAGGCGCCGGTGCGAATTGGAGCTTTAATCTACCTATCAGCGGAACATCTAGCCTACCGGGCAATCAGCAGCGCACAATGGGGACCATGGGAAGTTTTGCGCAAAGTCTTGGAGGATCTCAATCAGCGGCGCCACTTGATCTCTCGTGAGTACTCTTTAACCATGGTTTGCAGTGGTCTCCTGTATCTCTAGGTCTTCCAATTTGTCTCCGAACTGACGAAGTCGGTGATTCTAGGGAGTTCCCTTCGCTATCAGGAGCATCACAGCAATCACAGTCACAAACTCCCGGTCAGCTAATGTGGGCCAACGCAAGTCAACGCGCAGCTCAGCAAACACCTGTCCAAAGGCAACAGCTCCCTCAGCCATCGCAAACCCCCTCCCGTTCCTCCCAGACCCAAGGTCTTCCTACACCTCAACAATCTCAACCATCGCATGATGACATGTTTCCTTCTGGTTCGCAGTTTGCAAATCGACTCGATGACTTTAGAAATGGTGGCCAGGGTATCAGTAGCCAACTCAGTGCGGGTGGCCAGCCCCAGCCAAGCAATATTGAAGAGTTTCCCCCTTTGGGTCGTAATGCTGCTGCTGAGCTGCCTCTCGGTCGAACTGGTTCATTGATGCAAGGTGCGGGTTTTGGCGGCTATGGAACTTCTATGGGGGCACCGCGCTCGCCAGTCAGCCAAGTGCCCAATGGCATTTTGGGACAAGAGAAAGAAGTATGTCTTTAAAACTGCAATCACATTTTAGGCGGAACTAACTTCACAACAGGAATTGCATAACGGTGTGCTTCCAGGCCAGCGTAATTTTAGTGACCCACAACAGCTACAACAAAGGCAACCAGAAAATAACGACGGACAAGATGTTTCTATCGCGCCTCAGAGCACTGAACAACCGCCCCTCGCACAGATGAGTGAGCTTGACAGGTTTGGGTTGGCGGGTCTGCTGCGTATGATTCACAGCGAGAGTCCTGATGTTGCAAGTCTTGCTGTTGGCCAAGATTTGATGACACTAGGATTGGATTTAAATCAGGCGGAGTATGAGTTCCTTTGTTCCCATACTGTTGACATGTACTAACATGCTTCTCCGCATAGGCCTTTACACACATCGTTTGCTTCACCATTCGTTTCATCGATGTCAGCAGTCCCTTTGGAACAAGACTTCTCTTTGCCGGGATGTTATAATGTCGCCAATATCCAACCCCTCCAGTCTCGCATTCCCGGTTTCAGCGACGAGACCCTGTTTTTCATCTTTTACAGTATGCCTCGGGATATCATGCAGGAACTGGTGGCCGAGGAATTGATGGGCCGCAAATGGCGGTACCACAAGCTTGAACGATGCTGGCTAACTCGCGATGAGACATATCCTGGACCCGTTGACGTGGAACGTGGTGTGACGGAACGCGGCGTGTATCTTCTATGGGATTCATCTGCCTGGAAGAAAGTCCGAGTAAGTAACTTACATCCTTTGTTGGGACTCAAAGAATTGGTCAAGCTTACTGTTACTGCAGCGTGAATTCATCCTTCGATATGAAGACTTGGATAACCGGTTGGATCCTAATCGAGGCGCCGCTCGCCCACCTGGCGTGGTGCATCATGCCTCATGATTTGAAGTTGATACGATCTAGGCGCATGCAGAATACAAGCAATCAACCATGGCGTTCGGCTTACTGGTCTGTGTCATATTGCTCGAGGATGGCCGACAATACATTAGCCTTCGGGAATAAGGCGCATTGATTTCTTTGGTATTAAAAGGGCGATGTGGGAAACCAGGATACGATTTTTGAAAATCAATGGCCTGGATTATTTTGTCATAATGCCGTAAAAATGCGATAGATTGCTGTAGCCCACTATCCATAGGACACTATCTGAATGAGTTCTCCATCTAGCAAGACTTACGCGCAGTAGACAGAATAGCCACCCAATCGGTGTGGATATTCCCATTTTCGGAAGTTTCTTCCAAGTACCTCTTCAACGCCGGACCAACCTTATCCTTGTTTTCTTCCTGTTGTTCCTTGGTCCAGAAATCCTTCATCATCGTGGGAAGCACCAACATAGTCATCTCCAGGAAGACAGGACATGTGAGGGTCAGCTTTACTGTTGTTGGCCGAACATTGATGTCCTGAAAGCCACGCTCCTCGAGCTGGGACTCGATCCAAGGCTTCGAGTACCACTGCCCTTCATTCATGGCTGCCATCAACTGTTGGGCCTCAGGAAAGGGCAGGTTGCCTGGCATTCTTTCAATTGCTGCTCGGGTGACGGCAACCCAGCCGGCTGTTTTATGTTAGTAATTATGCTATCTAGGAGAATAGCTCCGATACTCACGCTCAATCCAGGTTGAGAAAGCAATAGTCCCGCCGGGTTGCAGCATTCGAACGGTTTCTAGAGATATCAAATTTTAGCCTTTGATCTAAATTGGGAAATTTAGCAAGAACATCCTTACCATCGAGAGCTTTGACAGACTCAGGGAGTACCATATAGGCTATAAAAGGAAAGTCGTACTTAGCTACCGTCAAAGCAGATTAAAGTGCATCTAGAGAGCAACTCACCAAAAGCAGTGAATATGTGAGAGAATTGAGCGCTAGCTAGCTCAGGCTTCTGCGCATCCACAATTTTCATTTCCGCATTCTGCCAGCCTTCTTGTTGCATACGGTGCATGGTGTACTTAATCATTGACGACGAGATGTCTCCGCAGGTCAACTTCCACGTCTTCTTGATAGTGTCATCAAGCTTGTCATTGAGGGAGCTGGAGACGACACCAGTGCCGCAGGCGTTGTCGAGGACCACTAGAGGCTTATCAGGGTTGGCCTTGGACTCGGCGGCCACCTTGCTCTGGTCAACTAGCATTTCAGCGAATGGGCGAGTGGCCATCTCCCCGCGTTTGAATGTGCTAGCATAAGATTCACTCTTGAAGAGAGCCTCAAGGTCGGGTTTGTCACACATGCTTTGGAAAGCTGTAATGTGGTTGGGGATCTTGGTGATGTAAGTTGACAACTAGACGAAGATGTCTTTTACAAGTAATCTTCGAGGATGTTGCGCAAAATTGGGACCATGAAAATATGGATGTTGTTACCAGGCCGGAACAGCCCTCTAAATAGTCTGGAGCTACCCTGGAGTTCCGATGGTAATTGGTACTATCAAGTGTCGCACGACATGGAAAGTGTCCGAGAATGTCTCCGCGAGTGGGTTTCAGCTGAGTCATTTCTAGAAATGCATGCTCAAGGACCATTTAAAAAGTAGCCCTTAGCCTCTTGCTACACTGCAGTTCAGTTTTATCAAAGGAAATTATTGGTCGTGGGCAGATCTGGCGCGGTAGGTAACTACCAAGGTTCCCTCTGAGTAGATCATCTTGAGTGGGTTGGGAGAACAGGAGTCCATTAGGGCCAACATAAAAGCGGCGAAACCCTTGGCAGACATTTAGCATCAAGTCTAGGAACCCAGGCTTCAGAATGCCAGTCACCAAACAAGCCCTGGAGAACAGAGAGATCTACTATCTGGTCGCTGAGTGCTATTTTTTCCATACTTCGATATCACGTGAGAATAAAAGCCCCCGCGCTGACATCAGCAAAACGACGCCAGACCCAAATGGGCAAACCATCAACAGCGGCTGCGGCAAAACAATCCCCTCCACTTCTCACCTGGCAGCCCTATGCACTCTGCTAGCGAGCAGAACGCCGTTTCGGAGTCGCAACCATGAGGATTACTGAAATTGTCATAGATGTGAGTCTCAACGTTCCTCTCAGTATCCACTGCTCTAACTAGGTCGTCAGGGCTTCAAATCGTATGCTGTGCGTACGGTGATCTCGGGATGGTATGCAATCCTGCGCGTCTAAGCATGAAATTGGTCATGGCTTTGGCTCAGCCTGGGAGTGATCGGATTTACTTATCGCGCAATGTAGGGACGAAGCCTTCAACTCGATCACCGGTCTTAACGGCAGTGGGAAATCCAACATCCTCGATGCCATTTGCTTCGTGCTTGGTATCACCAACATGACCACAGTCCGCGCGCAAAACCTCCAAGATCTCATCTACAAGCGCGGCCAAGCCGGTGTCACGAAAGCTAGTGTTACAATCGTTTTCGACAACCGGGATACCGCGAAGTCGCCGATCGGATTCGAGGAATATGCAAATATCTCCGTCACTCGACAGATTGTGCTCGGTGGCACAAGCAAATATTTGATCAACGGCCACCGCGCGCAACAGCAGACTGTTCAGAACCTATTCCAGAGTGTCCAGCTGAACATCAACAACCCTAACTTCCTCATTATGCAAGGTCGTATTACAAAAGTCCTGAACATGAAATCGGTCGAAATCTTGTCAATGATCGAGGAGGCAGCTGGTACAAGAATGTTTGAGGACCGAAGAGAAAAGGCAAACAGGACGATGGGAAAGAAAGAGCTAAAGCTGCGCGAGATCGAAGAACTGTTGAAGGAAGAGATTGAGCCTAAGCTCGAGAAGCTCCGTTCGGAGAAGCGAGCTTTCCTCGACTTTCAACAGACGCAGAACGACCTCGAGCGCTTGACCCGACTTGTTGTTGCCCATGACTATGTTCGTGGCGGCGAGCGGTTGAGAGTTGCAGGTGAAGAGTGTGAAAACAAACGCAACAAAGCGCAAGCACTAGAAGATAACGCGAACAAACTTAGGAGTGAAATTGCTCATCTAGAGGAGGACGTGAAACGGGTGCGCACAGCTCGCGACAAAGAACTCCGAAAAGGCGGCAAATTCCAGGGGCTTGAAGATGAGGTCAAAAACTACTCGCATGAATTGGTCAGACTGACCACAGTCTTTGATCTGAAGAACGCAAGCATGGACGAAGAAAAAGAAAAGCGACAGACTATTCAAAATACTGTCACTGATCTTGGGAAGGTCTTGAAGGAGAAGCGCAAGATCTACGAGAAGCTACAGGCCAAGTACGACGCCGCCAAGGCCGAGTTAGACGCGCAAAATGTAGAAGTGGAGCAAAAGGAGGAACTACTTCAGACATTGCAGACTGGTGTTGCCTCGAAGGAGGGCCAAGAGAGTGGTTACCAGGGTCAACTGCAAGATGCCCGCAATCGCGCAATCAATGCAGCCACAGAACAAGAGCAAGGAAAGCTCAAAATCAACCATCTTGAGAAGCGAATCAAGGAAGAGGAGCCTCGCGCAAAGAAGGCAAAGGAACAAAACTTGGGGCTTTTGCGTGATCTCGAGGGGTTAAAGTCGCAAGCTAACAAGCTGGAGTCCGAGCTGACACGGCTTGGGTTTGAGCCTGGGAAGGAGGAGCAGATATACCAGGAGCAGACCGAGCTTCAACGGGATATTCGCGAGCTCCGCCAGCGGGCAGATGGGCTCAAGCGGCAGGCAGCGAACATCGACTTCAACTACGCAGACCCTCATCCCAACTTTGACCGGTCCAAGGTCAAGGGTTTGGTCGCTCAACTTTTCACACTCAACAAGGATCAAGTTCCGGCTGCGACTGCGCTGGAAATATGCGCCGGTGGTCGACTTTACAATGTGGTCGTGGACAGCGCAGAGACCGGCACTCAGCTCCTTCAGAAAGGCAAGCTGCGCAAGCGCGTGACTATCATTCCCCTTAATAAGATTTCTGCCTTCAAGGCCTCCGCAGAAAAGATCGGAGCTGCACAAAACCTTGCCCCTGGACAGGTTGACCTCGCACTTTCATTGGTTGGATATGATGAGGAAGTTCTGGCGGCGATGAACTATGTCTTCGGCAACACCCTTATCTGCCATGATGCCGACACAGCTAAGAAGGTAACATTTGATCCATCAGTTCGGATGAAGAGTGTCACGCTGGAGGGCGATGTGTATGATCCTTCCGGAACACTTTCCGGTGGAAGCTCCCCCAATTCAAGTGGTGTTCTCGTTACTTTGCAAAAGCTCAATGATATCACCAAGGAGCTGCGGGGTAAAGAACGACAGCTCACAAGTTTGGAAGATCATCTGAAGAGGGAAAAGAAGAAGCTCGACTCTGTTCGCTCCATCAAACAAAATCTGGATCTCAAGAACCATGAGATTAAGCTTACCGAAGAGCAAATCAACAGCAACTCTTCGTCTTCGGTATGTCTTTCTCTTAATCCGCTACCCTCATTTGCAACTGACCCAAAGTAGATCATTCAAGCTGTTGAGGAGATGAGAGTAAACATTGAACAACTCAAGAAAGACATCGCCGACGCTAAGTCTCGCCAGGCCGAGGCATCCAAGGATATCAAGCGAATTGAGAAAGACATGAGTGAATTCAGCAACAACAAAGATAGCAAGTTGGAGGAACTACAGACAACTCTCGATAAACTCAAGAAGAGCTACACCAAAAATTCTAGCTCAGTCAAAGAGCTGCAGAAGGAATTGCAGACCTCCAGACTAGACTCTGAACAAGTTGGAAGTGACTTATCTGCGGCTGAAGAGCAATTGGTTGAGTCAGACAATACCCTCAGTGCTCAACTAGAAGAGATTGAATCACAAAAACGGGAGCAAGCGCGGTTGAAGGTATGTGAATGCCTTCCAAAACTTCCTCGATAATCATGTAACTGACAATTACAGGATGCACACGACATCGCACAAGCTCAGCTTGATGACGAGAGGGCCAAACTGACCGGCTTTGACGAGGAATTGCGAGAGTTGGAACAAGCAATGAAAAAAAAATCGTCTCAGATCACGGAGGATGGACTAGAAGCGCAGAAGATTGGTCATCAGCTCGAGAAGCTCCAGAAGGATCAGTACACTGCTAGCCAGGCTGTGGCTCACATGGAACAGGAACACGAGTGGATTGCGGACGAGAAGGAAAATTTCGGACGCGCCAACACTCCCTATAATTTCCAGAACCAGAACATTGCCGAGTGCAAGTCCACCCTACGCAACTTGACAGAGCGATCTCAAGGCATGAAAAAGAAGATCAACCCGAAGGTCATGAACATGATCGATAGCGTCGAGAAGAAGGAGGCTGCTCTGAAGAACATGATGAAGACAGTCATCCGTGACAAGCGAAAGATTGAGGAGACCATCATGAACCTGAACGAATACAAAAAGGAAGCTCTCCACAAGACGTGGGTCAAGGTCAATGGCGACTTTGGACAGATCTTCAACGAGCTCCTACCGGGAAGTTTTGCCAAACTCGACCCACCCGAGGGTAAAGACATCACAGACGGTCTCGAGGTGAAGGTGTCTCTGGGCAAGGTCTGGAAACAGAGTCTGACAGAACTGAGTGGTGGCCAACGTTCGCTCATTGCTCTCTCACTGATCATGGCGCTATTGCAATTCAAGCCCGCGCCAATGTACATTCTGGACGAGGTCGACGCTGCGCTGGATTTGTCACACACTCAAAATATTGGTCGATTGATCAAGACCCGTTTCAAGGGATCTCAGTTCATCGTTGTCTCGTTGAAGGATGGCATGTTCCAGAATGCCAACCGCATCTTCCGCACGCGGTTCAGCGAGGGTACTAGTATTGTCCAGGCGTTAACCCCTGCGGATTTGAAATAAGCATGCACATACACATGAGCTTGGTTGTCTATAGTTTGTTTCTTGGTGTGTTGGTCCGGTGGAGTGAGATCCTAATGTCTGGCCTTTGGTGTTTGGTTGTCTTTGGATGGGAATGGATCTCTGTCTTATGAATTATGCATGATAAGGTCTATTTCAAGTTCTTCATAAGTTTACATGAATAAATGTACACATACACAATCTACACACGTAAGTGTCAGCGCTGAAGACATATTTCCATACTCGGAAACCCCGATACCCGGCACGTGCCCGGTTCTCGATCTGACCCGTGCCACCTTCCAACGCGCATTGCGGTCTCGTTCAACTTCCCCCCCATTGCGCAAGTGCCCGAGGAATCTTACCTAGACATCGCTTATATCAAGTTGTATCTAACTCGACTTCTTGCCTTTCTCGAAACTATTACGACTAGATACCAGCGCCGGGGACCTTGGACACCTGACTCAACTTGGGCTCCGCCAACACACAAGATGACAGACGAGGAACCTTCGCTGAACATACCGTCGCTTCTCACTCTAGCGGTTGTATCGTACTTTGTGCTCCGATGGTTCTTTCACCGCGATGAAAGCTCCGCAGGAGGAAGCCGAGGCCGGGGGCGTGGCAATGTCGTCGATCCGGCGCAGGTGGAACAGATCGCGCAGATGTTCCCTCAACTGAGCACTCGGGATATAATGTGGGATTTGCAGCGTAATGGGGGAAGTGTTGCCGCAACGACAGAGAGGGTTCTGACTGGACGGGGCCTGGAGACGGTATGTGCTACGCTGATGCTGCCTATGTAACCCCCCACCTTGGTCTTCTCCAAGACAAGATGGCTTAGTTGCGGGCTTCATACACCAACTTTGAATTGATTGATAAAGGAAATAGCTAATTTAATTTCTTAGCCTCCTCCTTCGTTCCAACCCCAGGTCTCAATTCCCCCCACCAACATCCCACCAAGGCAGACCGCCACGACCGCATCCGTACCCAAAGCGGACACGCAGGACTTGATATCTCGGTATAATCTGACTGAAAAGGCCAAAAGCCCTGCTGCGGAGTCACAACCTGATATACCTTCCAAGTCCTCCTGGTCTCAGAACAAGGAAGAGCGCCAGCGGATACTGCAAAAGCGTCGGGATGATATGATCTTGGCCGCGCGGAGGAAGATGATGCAAAAGAATCAAAGTGTTGCCCAATGAAATTGGGATTGTCACGCTCCCCTTTCGACGATGTGACTTTCTGTACACTGCTTTTTGACGTCGATAAACCTGGTCAAACCCAGTACCGGTGCTTGCTGGAGGCCGCCAATATACCCTCTCCATTCTTACGGTTTTGTTTCGCGACATCATTCCTGTATCAAAGCGTTTGCATGCTGTATGGTGTTGGTTAAATTGGAACAGTTTCGATTATAATCGTTGATCTTTGGATCCGGAGGGTATATTGGATTACATACCTGAAAGTCGTTTTGGGCATTGGTCTGCGTTACACATTCACCGAACAACTCCAAATGAAAAAGACCCTAAAACAGGCAAAGAAAGGTCTCAAACGCTTTAGAACTCCATGTAATCTTCTTCTTCGTCATCGTCCTGGATCCCATTGTAGCCACCATTTGCTCTCTGCTCGGCCATCTGTTCACGCCGGGCCTGTTCTTTAGAAGACCCAATCCTCCTACGAGCCAGTTAGCCAACGAAGTTTCCAATGTACTCGGATATGCAAGTGTCCGAGAATTAGATCAAACATACCGAAGACCATCCACCACGCCAGTAATAAACCCTCGCTCTTCTCCCAACTCCATAGAACCGACACCAGTCAAAGCAACACCACCACCACCAGTCGCCGCAGCATCCAGCACATCAACACCAGATCTCATTTTCGCCATGCGCACCTCACGCAGGTCCTTCAGCAGTCTCCGTATCTGATCCGGGTCCACGAGATCATCGCTTGCGTCATCAAGAAGCATATTCCCAACCTCAACCCAGTGAAACGGCAGTGAGGGGGGATCCCGCGAAGATTTCACAGTCTGGGCTGTGTTCTGAGGTAGGAAAGGCGGCGCCGCATAGTACCGATTGCCATCTGGAGTATACTGCGGCCGAGCAGATGGCAGGGCATCACGGTCCAAAATGCTAGGTTGACCGGGCAGGGGAGGAGGTGGGGAGAAAGCGTTTTTGTAGTCTTGGTGCTGGGACTCTACTTCGAGAATGAGAGCTAATGGCTCTGGGTGTAACCATGTTGGTGGGATGATGTTGGCGCGGCGTTGGCGTTTGAGGAGAAGGGCAAGCCAGAGGGGGAGGGAGGTGCGTCGGGGTGGAACGAGAGGTTCAATAGGGCCCTGCGGATTGTTAACTTTGGGGAAGTTCAGATGAAGCAGTTCGGAGGCGCATTCACTCCTAGTAGTTCGAGGCCTTCTAGACGCTGGCGAGGCACAATTGTCACCGTTTCCATCTCCGCCAGGAAGGCGATCTCTGAGGCTGTGACACCCCGAGGAAGAGGAAAAGCCATTGAGGGTGTGAATAGGCAAATGAAGGTGATTTAAATTAGTATGAGACTCGCGATCTCATCGTTTTTCTTAAGATGATGTAGGTCTTGATTGTCGTCTTGAATGGTTGCCTTGCCTTCCTTTGCTTTCCCTTTTTTCGATTTTTAAAAAATTATTAGTTTCTCTGCCTTTCGAATGTTCAATTGACTTTAATTAAATGTCTTCTTTCAAGTCGCGTCGAAATGGTGACTTCGAAACGTTTAGAACGTTTGAAACGTTTGCATCGGTCGAGCTCCGCAATCTCCGACTGGGACCTGGTGGCCGATGAACTGGAGATCGTCTGGCAACTCTACCTGCTAGCTGCAGATGGTTATTTGAACAGCATGGCCAATCCCCCACAATCAGATCGTAGCCGGAGTGCTCGCTGGTTGGTTCCGTTCTGCTTGGTCTTGATTCCTCTTTGGGTGAGTCTTGTCAACAAGGCTGTCCCAGAACCCTACCTCGACGAAGTCTTCCATGTCCCGCAAGCACAAGCATACTGGGCGCATAAGTGGACGCAATGGGATCCAAAGCTTACAACACCGCCGGGCCTGTACTTGTGCTCATACATCGTCTTCGCTATTGTGTTGCTGTTACGCGGGTCCCCGACAAAGCTCACTCCAGATGTACTGCGGATGACGAATGTTGGTGCAACAACAGTGATTTTCCCCTGGAGACTGCAAAAGTTGCTTGACACCCTACAGAGAACGACAAACACTCGGCCATTGGGAGCGAACGTGTCCCATACCGTGCTGAACATCTGCTTATTCCCCCCACTGTTCTTCTTCTCTGGCCTCTACTACACCGATGTTCTTGCTTTGCTGGTTGTTGTGGAGGCATATAATTGGGATCTGAGGAGAGACGCAGAGAGAGGCCAGCGAAGCGGCCCCGGAAAAGACACGAAAAAGGCTCCTGGCAGTGAGATTTTGGAGACTTTGGGATTCTTGGCTTTTGCGCTGGCTTCACTGGTCTTTCGACAGACCAACATCTTCTGGGTCTCGGTTTTCCTGGGTGGACTTCAGGTGGTCCGTAAGATTCGAAAGTCTGCCACGCCCTGCATGTCATCCAAAGTGTCAACCATCATGAAGCAAAGCCTCCAAAATGAGGTGTATGATCCTCTCGTTTCGGAAGCTTCGTTGGAAGGTAAATTGATTTGTTGAATCCACGGTGCAGCAAGCAGAGGACGATTCTAACGCAGGAAATAGATTATCTGAAGACTGCTATCTCAATCGCGACTGTCGGCCTGAAGCGGCCTTTTTCTCTCCTCTTCTCTCTCACTCCTTACATTGTTATCCTTGCGGCCTTTGGTGCATTTGTATATTGGAACGATGGGGTCGTCCTCGGTAAGAGTGATTTGTTTTCTTACATCAAATGCGATTTTTTGGCTGACGGTTGCTATTTAATAGGGCACAAGGAGTTCCATACCGCCGGTATCCACCTGGCTCAAATGCTCTACATCTGGCCGTATTTCACCTTCTTCTCATGGCCTCTTTTTCTTGTTCCTCTGATCAACATTCTCGCCCTCAAGCCTCTCCCGACATCTTTGAATCTCGGCTTCCCGCCGAAACAGAGGAAATTTCCCAAGCTCAAGACAGCCCTGATTGTGATCCCACTCATGCTTGCCGTGGTCCACTTCAACACTATTGTCCACCCCTTCACCCTTGCTGATAACCGACACTATGTGTTCTACGTGTTCCGCATTCTTCTGCTCCACCCAGCAATCAAGTATGCTGCGGTGTGTGTCTATTTCCTATGCGGATGGGTCGTGATCTCCTCGTTTGGATTTACCACCATTCAACGTCCGCCCAAAACCCTGCGAGTTCAGAAAACCACCTCAGCTGCACCCCCAGCTGCCCCCCCCGGCTGCCCCCCCGGCTTCGGCTCCAGCAACTCTAGAACCCAAACCCACTTTGTCTCATGTGCGCAAGCCTTTAGAGGCGCACCAACAGCCACCAAAGGGAACGAAGAAGCCCAACCGGAAGCCCAAGAGGGCTGATCCACCAGCAGAGACCAAGAAGACTGAGCCAGTAGTAGAGACTAAGAAGACCGATCTAACTGGGCCATCAGCAGAGATTACGGACCCAAATGATCCCACGGTTCTGGCTAGGGTCCAGGAACACATCTTTACGCGTCAAAGAGAATTACTGGAGGCACCGCGCGTTAGCTTCGTTCTTGTTTGGCTGGCCGCTACTTCCCTGTCTCTCATCACAGCACCCCTTGTTGAACCTCGCTACTTCATAATTCCGTGGGTTATGTGGCGTGTGCATCTTCCTCCTCTGCCATGTCTACTCAGGGACCGAGAGACTCGTCCCCGCTCAGAGGAAGCTAAGCGCCGCTCTGATCTCATTATCAACTTACCGAAGTTCGTGGAGACAGTTTGGTTCTTGATCATTAATATGATCACTGGATACGTCTTCTTGTACAAGGGCTTTGAGTGGCCGCAGGAGCCTGGCAAGACCCAGCGCTTCATGTGGTGAACGTTCAGCTTTTTTTTTCATTTAACATTCCTTTCAGCCTGCCTAGGTCTGGTCGCTTGTATCATAGAAAAAATGAAGCTTGCTTGAATGCTCTTTCAAAAGCCTTTGAATTTTGTTGTGGTCTTTTAATAAACCCGCCTTAGCATAGTATGTATCCAAGGCAAGATTCATCATGCTTCAAAGTAACCGTAGATAGTAGACCCCACATTTAATGAAAAGGTATGGTGCGAATATGCCCTGTCGCTATTGAATAGTATACTACTAGAAGCAACATGCTAAACAGTATGTAATACGATAGGATCTTTCACAAAAGTTTGAATTGGATTTGTTTAAACTGTCTGTTTATTGTCACGCCTGGGGATGAAGCCATATTTATGGGGTTATTTCCATCCCTATAGATCCATCTATCCCTCACCAGCTGATTATGCATTTGTAACAAGTATTGAGAGATCGAATCAGGAAGAAGAAGAAACTCAAAGAGCGGTGTCAGTACTGAATACCGGATTCCTCTAGATTCCATTGATTGAAATGCTGTCCTGAGACACAGGATACTGGACGTTGTATGGCAAAATATACAAAGGCGTCAAACTGCGTCGATGGCGCTAATCCCGATTCTGTAGGATTTCTACATGTAGGATTTCTGTATGAAGGATTTCTGTGTGAAGGATTTCTGTGTGAAGGATTTCTGTGTGAAGGATTTGGCGCATGCATGAAGCAACGTTGTGCATAGAAATCAATGGGGGTTTAGCGTTGAATGAGACCCAATTGCATGTTACTCATGAAGGATAAACTTGGGGTTTCGGCAGTAGCTAGTTATTCCAATAAACTACTTGTGTGCATGTATCTATTTGTGCCAACCAAAAACTGAAACACCCAGCTCTCATCACCGTCAAGGATCTCTACTGCCGGCTCTTCCACTCGGTTATTTGTGATAAATATCATGGCGGAAGGTTTGCTTTAGCTCGGCCACCAAATCTCCGTCAACTGGCAGCACAGCCTGGATGGCACAGACGCCAGAAAGGTTGTTCTTTCGATCAATAAACCAGGTGAGCGTCAAGCCACCACCCCAAGTCAACGTCCGCTCGCCATACCAGCCATCAACATCTTCAAGTGTCAGCAAACCGCCCAGACCATAGCCAACCTTCAATTCCGGATCTATACCAACGCGGAAAAAGGGCCCAATGGGACCAGCAAGGGCAGCTTGGTGGTCTGCCGCTTCTTCAGGGCCAAGGTGTTGCTGGAACATATTGTCGACGGTATTAGCATTGAGCAACTTGCCATCATTAGCCAGCAGCGAGCGCAGAATCTTAACAAAATCCAAGCCGGATATGAACAATCCATGACCACCAAAGTCACCGCGGCCAGCCCAGTCAAGACCGGGCCCATACATCCAGCCAGCACCGGGTTGGAAGCTAAGCGGTTAGCTGAACAACTTCTCAACAGAGTGACGGGCTTCATTCTCGGGGTTGGCGAACTGCGTGTGCCACTTGGCGATCATCGGGTTCAGGAAGTAGTAGGAGATGCCGGAGCTGTGTGTAAGCAACATTTTGAGGGTGATGGGGCGGGCTGGTGAGTCGAGCTGAGGGCTTCCATCTTCCGCAAACCCTGTGAGAACGTGCCTTGTAGCGAGCTCTGGGGTGATGGATGACAGGTCGCCGTCTAGAGTTAACAGGCCGTCTTCAACGCACTGTAGGGCGGCGATGGTTGTAATCAGTTTGGTAGCTGAGGCTAGGTACAGTACATCGTCGAGCTGCTGTGGTTGCTTCTCGCCCGAGTAGTGTTCGTTCTCCAATTGCCTAGTTGTATACGAAGTGGCCTTCAGCATCAGTGGCACAGATTACAGCACCGTTGATCTTAGCATGGCCCCTGCACTAAGGAAGACATGTGAAATCAAAGAGAAGCGACATTTTTTTTTTTCTTCACGCGAGCATAGTTAAGATGATAGAGTGTATACATTTGCACATTCATTGTTGTGCTGTGAATGCCTGGGGCACATGGGTCACGTGTCATCGCCGTTCAACTCTGCGGCGGCAGTTCTTTTTAATTAACCAGTTCACTTTTGACCTTGATCTCCCGTTGATCTATTCCTATATTTTTCGGTCCGACAAATCAACCAACTGGGCTTGTGGTTTAGTGGTATAATACTCCCTTAGCATGGGAGTGGTCCGGGGTTCGATTCCCCGCGAGTCCAGATCTTTTTTGTCTCACTATGTCAACGGGGTACTCCTTTACCCTGAGCCGGCGTTTGTATTTCTTTTTCCTAAAAAGAATAGGTTTCGAAGACTCAGTCCTCCTTACTTGGAGTGTACTTTGTTCTATTGTCCAACTCAGGACTGTGAGTCCAAGCTTTAAATCCTGGCATTCGTGGTGTTAGCTCGTCTACGTTGTAATATCAATAACCTCGATGCCAGTAGTAGTGCCATTGAGAGTTTGCCTACGATCTCGGTCGAGGCGCTTAGCGAGCTAGGTTAGGTAGTAATTATCTTTCTCTAGAGCAAAGGCAGAACAGACAGGAGTAGTGCATAGTTGCTACCGAAATTCTGCGTTATAATCCAATTTCGAAGGCTGACGAGGAATTTGAAAGGTCTAGTTCAGTAGTGGCACATCACCCCCCGTGGCCTTAACTGAATCTTGATATTGGTGGATTTGCCTTAGTCCCGAGACCGCGATCTGGTAGCCATTCTGGACTTAGAGATGGCGATCGCCGGCCAGGGTCTAACCTGGACGTCCAAAGTACGTCCATGGCTTCAGGACAAGCCGTTCTCAGTCCATCAATTGGTCTCCTCGTCCCCGAAACCAATCATTTTTACCACTGTTCTTCGAAGTGGCATACAACATACGTGCCGTCTGAAACTTGGCTGGCCTTGACCCTGATCCTAGATCAAAATCAGTGTTTTCCATGGCCACAACTCGCAGAACCGGTGTCCGGCATCTGGTGACCCAGCTGGATCACCTGATAGATAATATCGCATCTAGTTAGTTCTCTCTAGGCATTCGGGCCCCGCTCATTCACTAATTGACCTTTGGTCTGCGCCCCCTTCATTGAGTTGCGAAGGCCATCGGGGAAATCTCAACCATTTCATTTGTCTGATGCCTTCGTTTTGGGGGGTTTTTTTTGGAACCTAATCTAAATGCCTCGGGGGACCGTGATCGGCGCTTTGCGACTCAAAGAACAGTCGCTCGTAACATTCCTCCTATTGGTTGTTTTAAGCCCCTGAACGAGTGGTTACACACCATCGACAGACAGTTACCTGGATCCTATCAAAGTGTCACAATACGGGATCTTTTGCTAGGCAAAGAGATCGAACCCAGGACTCCCTATTCTGGTCGATTTCAATGCATTGGTGCCCGACAGACTTGTGATGAATAAGATCTTGACACATCAAAGGTTATATAAACCTGCACTATTCGGTTGTGCCCTTACCAACGAGAGCAGAATAAGATCGAACCGGCCACTACGCCCATCATCTCCCTTCAGTTCACCTTTGCTATCCAACTTGACCACAGCAAGAGTCAAAGGAACCAAGTTTTACCTGAATTTTGTTCAGCGGTTGACAAATCGACACAACAGTCTCGTGACACGTCTTTCCGGGAAGGATTTTCTATCATCTATCTCATCTCTTGCCTTTTTCTTCTTTCGAGAGAATCCGAAAGTTATCATAGAGCATCGGGGATCTGTGTTCAAGTCTCTAACTCAGAGGTCTCTAGATTAGCAACTTGAAATGGCTCAGCAGATGGTTGAATGCGTCCATGCTAATGCCCAGTCTCGTTCGCCCTCTTATGTTGACTCCGACTCGATTGTCTTCAAAAATGAGAGGAATGACTTGGCTTTGAGATTCTTAACTGATGCTAAGAAGGCTCAGAAAGCGATGGAGGATTGCTCAGATGTTTGCGCGATTTATTTCCCTGCAGACCTGGACGTTGCCTTCAACTCAGAAATTGAGAATCGACTTGCGGCCGACATTTGCGAGTGGCGCTTTTTCACGTGCCTTAGCAAATCGCTCAAGGATTTGGCAATTAGCATGTCTCGTCTTTGTTCTCTCCAGGTGAATTTGAGTTACGAGCGAAGAACTCTGCTTCACCGTCACCTGGCCTGGATTTATATCATGGACGAAGTCTGTGAAAGATTGCCGGTGTATGGACTGCATGATACTGTGGAGAAAACGTATCTGGAAAACCTCAAAAACATCACAAGGAATCTTCCAATTGAAGATTTGAATCAATACAAGGGGATTTGTCCAGATGATCTGCTCCACATGGCTCTCGACGTGCAAAAGATTCTCGCCGAGGATCTAATGCCACTCAAAAGAGAATTGCTGGAGGAAAGTCACGTTCAGAAGTGCTCTGAGACACTTTGTCTTTTCATTGATTACCAATATGAGGAGGGAAAGATCTTTTTGGAAAGACCAACGTCTCATGAAACCATGCCGACCAGGGTTTATACAATCGGTATCAACATGGTTTTCCTTCTTTCTTTGCAGACACCCATAGTTGAAGTCTACAACGCGAATGATATGGGTCTTGTTCAGCTTTCCATCATTGGGGCCCTCTATCATGACTTTATTGGCTTGCAGAAGGATCTTAATTGTCGAGATCTAAAGTTGGACGGCTCTATCGGCTTGAATCTTGTCGTGGCTAGTATGAAAGAGAGCGGATACAATGAAAAAGAAGCAATGCAGGCAATGGTTCGGAGATTAAATTCATATTGTCACGACCTCCAATTTTTTATGTCGGCCTATCCTCCCTTATACAAGCAATTTTATCAGGCCGGACTCCAGATTGTCTTTGCCCTCCACGATTATCACCTGATGGGTGCCACAGAAAGCTCCAACAGCCGTTATGGCTGGCATCGAGTCAGTGACTACAAGCATAGTGAGAGCTCACAGGATCCCCGGGCCCCCTAAAGCCTCTCAACGCTGAAACAAATCCTTGCCCTTTTTTCTTGGGTTCTACCCATTTTGTCCAAGTGGGGTAGTAAATGCACCTGGAACTATCTACTTTCGGTTGTGTCGTGATTCTAATTTTGGTACTCCGTGCTAGGGACTTTCAACCCCTCGCCCCCCCTTTTCCATGCTCAACACATGCCCGAAGCAACCAAGGACACCTTAACTTGTCCTCGCATCACCCACTTTTTTCGTGTATTCTACAACAGACCTCAATTTATCCTATCTTTTTAATTGGTTTCCCTAGGTCGATTATCTGTACTCTTGTGTAAAATGTCACACTACCTTAGCTTGACATCATATAGTACTATGTAGTCCAGACGCGGGATTTTCAGCAGCTCATGCATCCCAGGTTAAGGGAGCTGGAAAGTCTTCACTTCAACGTTGCATGGGTTAAGGGGATGTACAGTAGTCGATTCACCTTTTGAGAACTGCAGCCCGGAGTCTCTATACAGGAAGCAAGAAACAAAAAGCGGTCAAAGATAGATGAAGACGATGAGTCTAACTACTACCATGGAGCCCTTTATATGCTCCATGGGGATAAAGAAAGGCCAAACGAAATGAAGAGCAAAGGAAGCCTTACTGTCTAGATGCCTTGTAACGTCGACCAAGCCGTAGTACTTGTGTGGAGAGCTTTTCTCGCTTGGGGCATCACAATTATTATCAGCCAGTTTACGTCTTTCTTTTGACCCCGATTGTAAGATTTTGCAGGTAGATGATTTAAATTCGTCTTTTGAAGGAGTATGATCTTGTCAGAACTACCTTTCATCGAGCTGATACCGGGGAAAGGGTATTGTCGTCATACACTCCACTCCACACGATCGAAAGGTTTGGTGGTATTAGTACTTATGCCAATGAATTGGCAATTCACTAGGTCGGCCATCAAGAAGCGAGGGAAACGAACGTCGCCATATAGTTCTTGATGATCAATCAATCAGCAATGAAAAACAATGTAAAGACTTTGCATAGTAAACAGATGAGACCTGTTCAGGCTTATTTTGTGTCAGACTTCGCAATTTTGCGGTCAAACTTGGAAGAGACTGCTGAGCAATGCAAGGCCAAGTATCATCCATCCTTAATCATTGTACATCATGCGGGGTCGATTTTAGAATAAGGTTTACTGTGTGGGTCCGCTAGAAGGATCGAACCAGGCGGGCTGGGCCACGTGGTGCGGCGATTTATGAAGTCAAACTGGAAAAATTGGTCCATGTAATTATTAAGATGCTGCAAGGTAAGGCTAGTAATTAAGTACCAAGTCGTGGTAGAATGCATTGCCTCCTATACTTGGTGGCTCTATGCCGCTGGGAGTCTATACTGTCCCCGTCTCTGTCTTCGGGGACCTTCTTATTTTCAGATAAATAGAACAGTATGTGACAAGGATCTTTAACCATTAAGCAGATTCATGAATGGTTTTCCTTCAAGGAACGCAGAGTTCTTGCTTCATTGACATAGGATAAAAATTAATAAAATTCTCTCAAGACGGTTCTTACGCTTGCCGTCTTGATATTAAATACTTCGACGCTCATTTAAATGTCACTTGAAATGTTCTCAGATTTCAAAAATTCAGAACAGACTAGTCATTAAAATGCAAAAACCCCACAGCAAATCTATTTTTGACGCATATGAAACGGAAGGATCCACGGGTATCTGTGTCCATCTAGTCTTCATCCATCGACTCCCATCCATCACCACCACGAGGCTCACCCTCATCACCCTCCTCTTCCTCGTCATCATCGGACTCATCATCATCAGCATTGATACCAATAGTGCGCTCCTGAACTTCACCAGCAAGGTCGGGTAGACGAGAGACAAACGCACGACGAACAGCGCCGTTAGTCGAAGCATCCCAGATCTGTACATTACCCTTGCTGCCAGCAACCGCCAACCGGAAGCTGACCTCCTTGTCGGGAGCGAAGGTAGTAGAGAACACCTTACCGACCTCAAGCTTGCGCGTCACAACAAGAGTGGGCTTGTCATTCTCGACACTCCAAAGCTTGACGGTCTTATCTGTTGACCCAGTCACCAGGAAGCCGGGAATGTAGCGGTTAATGTCGAAGGATGAGACGGAGGAGTCGTGTGCTTGTAAAGACCAGACTGGCTTGGACTCGGCAGGGGTGGTGGGGACATTGCGCATGTCGTAGCGGTAAACCATGCCTCCGTCGGTAGTCACGTAGAAGAAGTTAGTGTCGTGCGAGTCCCAGCGGACACACTCGACGTCTGCGTCGACACCCCAGCGGGCCTGGGCATCCGGTGCACGCATGTCCGCTGCTACGACGGTGCGGTCATAACTGCCGCTCAGCAGAATGGTGGACTCGGTCGGGTGCCAGTCTAGTGAGCAGACCTTGTCCTTGTGGTTGGAGTAGGACTTGGCGCAGGTGGCAGTGTTGAGATCCCAGAGCTTGACGGTCTTGTCGGCTGAGGCGGAGGCAAGCAGGTTGCGGTGCTGACGGTTGGCGGCCAGCGCCAGGACGGCATCGATGTGGAACTCGTCGTTGGCCTTGGGCTTCTTCTTTTGCTTCTTCTTGGTCTTCTCGGCATCCTGGCCACCCTGTCCGAGAATCGCGTTGGGGTACATGCAGTCCACGACATCCAGGTCCCAGATTTCGATATCGGGCTCCATTGTTCCGATAGCCACAAAGTTTCCTTGTGTGCGACCTTCAGGGTTCTTGCCGACAGGAATATCAAGCCACTCCGTGCAAAGCGGGATGCCGGGCAACATGATGTCGTGGTGAACATAGAGGTTGTCAGCTTGGTCTTCGTAGACGTAGACCTCCAAGTGCGCAACTTCGTCCTCCGCCTTTCCGGCCAATAGAAGGTTGTCGTGGGGCATAATCTGGAGCTCCTCGCGTTCTTCATCATCCTCGTCCTCGGGGATCACAAGGTACGGGTCTTCCTCGTTGGGCTGGTGGTAGGCCAGGGACTGAACATTGCCGAACATGGTAATTTTTTCGCCGTCCTCATCAACCTCCTCCTTGTCGTAATTATCCATGTCGAATTCTTTCAACACATCATCATCGCTGTAACTCCGATTAGCAAAAGTTAAACCCTCACTGTGCTCAAAATTTCTCACCTCTTTGCATCTGTGCCATTGGCCGAGGGCTTCTCCTCAGTATCATCCTCCATAGCATCATCACCCTCATCTCCAGATCCTTCCTGGGCAGCATTCATATCGTCCTTCGCATCCTCGAGCTGCATGCGCGCAAGCTTAGATATGCGGCCCATCTCGGCCTCATCAATCTCATATTTGGTAGGGAACTGGGCAGCGACACCGCGCTTCACCCACGTCGTAGTCGTAATCATGGAAGACATTGTGAAAGTGTTGTGACAAAACTAATCCCACCCGTCCTCTTTTTTTTTATCGGCGATATTTTTTTTTATCGGTGTGCCTGAGGGGCTGTCCGCCCGGCAGAATCTACCTGATTTCCTTACCGCCCGGGTGTTTTGCGGAACTGCGATGTTCGTGCTTTGCGGTGATCGTACGATAGGACTTGCAATTGTTCTTCAAGTTGTTCTGCTTTTCAACCCATTAACACCTCAACTATGCATTCTCACCTTCATACCTCATACAATGTCAGTATGTTGAGTCCGCTATACCCGGAAGATCCCTCCAACCATCCTATCCCCCTTCATATGCCGAGACTGACTGATGTCACACAGATTGCGAAGAAATCATGACTGCTCTCGATGATTGTCATGCCAAGGGATTCCTACACAAAGTCATTGGAAGCTGCAACGATATCAAAGTTGAAGTGAACAAATGCCTCTCCGCAGAGCGATTCGACCGCGCAAAGCGCAACCGAGACGAGGCGCGCAGCAACCGTCGGCGCGTTGAGGAGATATGGGCCAAGGAGCGCGAGCTTGATCAAGGGCCTGCAGTGGCGGTGGCTGCTGCTGCTGCGGCAAATGTTGCGGCGGCTAATGCTGCGAAGCAATAGACTGTGCCGCGACATGAGCACATGCCATCATGTTTGAGATTAGAGTTTGGAGTGTGCTTTCTATGGCTATTCCTCTATTTGACTCATACCTAAAAAGACAGCACCGCTGCTTGGTATCAGTGGCAGCCTTCCGCACGGCTCAGAGATTGGAAGCCGACTGGGACATCTACTCTTGGGAATGCATTGGGATAAGCAAATCCAGGCCTATTTAATCGCCTCTCATCTCATCTGGGGCAGAAAACCTGTACGATAACTGAACGTGTAAATATATGTATATGACTGACTGGACTTCGCTCTTTCTAATTTCCCGTGTTCTATCTAACCCTTATGTGAATCACTTGATCTACGATGTACTGGGGGTTATAAGAATAATATCAGGTGTGCATTACTATGATGATGTACAACAGCTTAACTTTTAGATATAACCCGTCCGATCTAAACGCCGCACCCAAGAGTGAAACAAGGTTGAGAATGCATGCAATGATAACCAGCATCATGAGTCGCCTATGCCGTAAAGATTCAATCAAGTGTCAATCTCCATAGCCTCATTGGGCTCGGCAGCCCCCTCGAAGTCTTCACGAGGACCACTCTTAGCATGACGACGTTTCCTCTTAGGCTTGGCCACGGCAGCATCATCGCCATCTTGTTGCCCAGTAGCATCTGCGATATCAACCTCCTTCCGGACAGCCTTCTCTTTCTTCGGTACAGGCGCCACATCCTTCTTCTTAGCCTTCTTCACGCTAAGAGGATTAGGCGCCTTGACCTTAGGTCCACGCTTCTTCTTGGGTTCCGCCTCATCAGCACTCTCGCCATCAGCCTCGCCATCTCTCTTGCGCTTGCCCAGCATAGGATCCGCATCCAATCCCGCGCGGAACTTCCCACGCTCATGACCATCTCGCACCATCTCGGATGGACCGCTCATTGGCTCGAGGACCATCACCGAGCGCTTGACGTAAATGATAGGCACACCGGGAATAGAGCGGGCAGCGGAGCGCAATGCGTGAGAACGGTGCATAGCTTCCTCTTCTTGACGATCCTCCTCTGTCTTCCGTCTGCGGGGCTGGTTCTCACTATTGTTCGTCTTTCTCAAGATTGGATCCGCGCACGCGAGAATGTAGTGCTCCTTGTTCTTCTTTGCGTCTGCGTTGGGTGAAAGCAGCGAGAGGAGGCACTCGATTTCGTCGATGGGCGTGGAGTCCGCGTTATGCGAGCAGTGGCGGAGCGGGAGTTCTGTGGGCGGCGGAAGGAAGAGTGGTCTGTATGGCTTTTCTGTTTTGGGATTGATGGGTTGTGCGGCCATGATAGCGGCGAGTGAACACTTTGTCAATACTGCCAGATGGTTAGTAGTTGCGTCTTGGCAGATGGGAAGTTTGATATTCGGCGCGACTCACAAGGCTTGACCTTGCCCTGTACTGTTCGTTCAAGTGCAGGAATTAGCTCCATCTTGAAGGAGTCGGTGGCGCGAAGGAAATTCGAGTCAACTGTCCGGGCGCAAGTCAGCACTGTACATCAGAGTATTGCGTTGAAGGGAACGTACCCAAAACCTGGTAGGCCTCTCGGAAACCGAAAGTGAGCTCATATTGGTGCATAAGCTTGCGATACTTCTTTGAACGCTTGGCCCTCATTGTGAATGGTGAGTATCAAGTTTTTGAGGATTGAATGCAGCAAAAGGCATGAGCTTCTACGTCGACCGAAACTTTTTTTCATTCTGCCGGGCGGGAGCGGCGGTGTTGTGGTCTGTGCTGAGGGTGAGGTACCCAGTACTTTGTCCAAATGGAGGATCTAGCCTTGAGATTAAGTACCCTATACTTCGCATTTACTGATCTCCGCAGTCTTGAGAAGAGTAGCAGCAACACATCATGATACATAATCATGTACTGGGTCAAAGAGATTTCATAATTTGGTCTATTTCGACTAAGAATAACCATGAAACAACAGTTAGACAAGCCGAATCGTGCTAGTATTGGAATCCCTTGTAGTTAGATGCAAAGAGGTCTCAAGGCGCTACATGGAATATTGGGTACAAGTAACAACCGCCAGCTAGACAGATTGGCAGCAGGAAATTCGGGTGTTTGCAAACCACCGATGCACATTCTCTGCTAGCCCAGAACTGGTGGAACACACCGACTGTTGTGGAGTGCAATAATGACCAGGTGAAGCTAAGCAACAAGGCCTCGCGGCGGTGGACCGCGAGATATATACCAAATAGTCCAGCTGGCATGAAATTCATTTTTCCGGGGTTTGGTGTTGTGGCTGTTTGATTGCAACATGCCTCGGTCCTGATCCGACACTTGCAAGGTATCAAAGCTGCGCAATAGCAATGTAGGCGAACAAGCTTTTTGCGGTGAGTATGAGCATCTGGCATATATGCTAGACGGGAAATTAAAACCTGCCTCGTGGTCCGAAACTCGGTATCAATGACAACTCGCGCAAGTCCGAGACAGGCGCCGTTCAAGATGGGTGGATGTTCGTGAAGGAGAGTCTCATCGAAAACCAATGGCTGCCTTTCATTCATCACTTTTCTTGCAGGACGCGACCACGACGGAGATATCGTCCATTTTGCCTCCTTCAATGGCCAGTCCCTCATCCACCGCCTTCTCCATAAAGGGACTCTCTGCAAAGGGATCCCGGGCAATTGTCAGAGCAGCATTAAGCAGTTCCCGGGCGACATAGACATTGCGATCGTCAGACAGAGGAGAGTACTGCGCAACTTTCATTGGCACCGCGCGCCCTTCCTTCCATTTTTCGATACTGTCCACAACGATTTTCAGGACCTCATGTTCCCAGAGGTTGTCCATGACGCCATCAGAGAGGGCCAGGACAACATCGTCTTCCTGTACCGCAATTTTGGACAAGACTGCATCTTTCCGAGGTGTGTCGGTGCTGTTTGTTCCAAGCTGCACGGGACAATCGAACCAATGCCACTGCTCTGCAGTGCGAAATAGGACTTTCTTCTCGCTGGGTCTAATCACGAGGACTTTACAATCACCCAGGTTCGTAACGTACAGCAGTGGCTTCTGTGTGCCGTCTTGTTCCTTGGTCCAGTGTAGTATGGCAGTGGTCGAGGTTGTCGTGCCGAGCCACTCGGTAGGAGATGTAGTTGCCCGCAAGGTCTCCTCGTAAGCATGCTGCAAGTATCCGACCGGGTCGAGGGTAGACGTGCGGTGGTCGACATTCTTTTCGATCTCGAGGGCCCAGAAGTGTAAAAGGAGTCTAGACCAGAGTCTTTATTTGAAAATGAAAAAGTCAGCGATGGCGGCATGACGCAAATTGAGATTGAGACCACTCACGCAGCATGGCCCCGAGGTTTTGTAGCCCAGGCACCTACGCCATCGTCGACGCCTATGAAATTCTCCGCGACGACAATGGCATCGTCTCCATTGTTCAGGCCGCGGACTAGCTCGCCCTTGACGGATAATCTCTTATCCTGGCTGAGTCCGTGTGTTGTCAAAGGATCCGAGAAGGATGAAGAGGGTGGGGACAGGAAAGGCGGAGGGAAGGGTCGTGAGGGTCGTTTAGCACATAAAGCGTAGCCAGTCTCGAATCGAAAGGGCGATTTTGGGACAACGAATGGTTGGTCGGGGACGGGAGTGGTGATGCCGTAGGAGGGCCACACTGCCGCGTGGTATAGCCGTGCGGTGCTCGGTTGTCGGAGGCGGGCACCCTGGATCGGGGCTTGATTTATGCTTATATTCGTGATCCACTTGCTAACGGACGTCCATGGTGACAATAATAAATATGACGCGGACGCTGCCTTGGTCACCATCCCTAACTTGGCTCTCTGTGCACCAAGATGGGCTCGGCGAAGGGGTTCTGGGGCATTAAGGCATGAAAAGTAAAGAAATGAAGAGAGATAATATGAAGATATCGCATAAAAACAATTGTTGACTCAGGCCCGGGCTTGAAGGCACAGAGAAAAGAAAAATGCGACTCACCGATGAAAGGCCGAGAAGGTCTCGAAGATTTCACTGGTCTGCGCCGCCGACTGTGCCTTGCACTACGGAGTTTCTCTGAGAACGTAAAAATGTTCAAATCCCGGAATCCCTGGCATTTATCATCCTTTACATGCTCATATGTTTTCCTTTTTCTGTCAGATTTGTTAAATTCGTCCAAAATTCACCTAATTTTCCATTATAATAGTCGCTGACACGAAAACCTGCGGCTCTTAGGGCTATGTTGACTTGTACATATGTCCCTGCCGATCCAATGATCGCCTCAAAACTTGTCTATATACCCCTTGAGATAAAATCCTCTTATCCAACAGTTCTTGATCTCACTAAATTGACATCTATGTCCCAGAACAGAATTAAGGGCAAACTCATTATTTCCAATGCAACCAGCCAAGTCAACGAGGAGGCGCAAAATTGCCCTCAAATGGACTGTAAAAGGCACACGTTAGTAAGGAGTGATCTATATGTCCACTATAGGACTATTCGCTTGAGAAGCATGTGAGTCGGCTTGATGCCAATTTTCAAGCTGGCTGGAGCCGAGTGATACTCCAAAATGCCCGAAGATACTGTGAACACCGTGGACGTTCCAAGGTTAGATACGACGAGGTGTACGGAGTTACTATTACCATGGTAGTTCCGAAAAGCCGGGTGATCCAAAATGTATCGCTTGTGGTGGGTTCCTGAAGGTACAGCCATCTGAGGTTGAGTCGGAAATGGGATAGGCGAGTCTGTACGAAACATTAGGTAGCAGCTGGAGCTGAATCAATTTCATTTCGAGACTGGATATGTAGACCTCTCGTGATCGCTTCATCAAATAAATGAGATGGCTCCTGGTCAGTTTTCGATATCTGTCAAATGGTGTAGTTCGCCCTTTGGGTTCCTCCCAAGACCTCCCTTCGATGGCCTCTCCTCAACGAACACTTTCCCGGTGGGGCCGACGAAGCTTTTCTTCTTTCCATTGTCACATTTTAAGGGTTAATTTTTTTTTTAAAAAACACCGTTTTTTTCGTCGTTTGCATGATTTTTTGGTTGGTCGTTTTTGTGCTGCAGAGTGAATTCCTTTGGGATAATTCTCAGAATGCCCAGTCTTCTGAGAACCCTTCCTCCATTTGAATTATCGTTGTAGCTCATAGACTGAATGGTAATTTGTAATTTGTGAATCGTGAATCGTAGTCGTAGTTGCAATCGTAAGTCGTGAATGTAGTGACAGGACTGCGATTTTAGAAGCTTGCTGGGAAGTCTTCCCTGTAGGTTATCCCGCGTTCCTTGGAAATCAACAGAGAAAACAACTCAAAAGCACGGTCCAATTCATTGGCAATATCCGTAGCGTCAACATCACGTCTGAGTTGAGCTAAACCATCGAAGAACATGCGAGCAGTGGTAGAAGCAGTTATGGCGAAAGCAGGTCCATCCCATCTGTGCGCAAGAAGACGCTTGGTCAACATGATGCGTACATGGCGTTCCGCACAAGGACAAGGGCGCTGCACCTCTTGGGTACACTCCCAGGAACATCCACAGATCGACTTGCAAATGCACTTTCGTTTCCTGGCAAAGTGGTAGAGATCAGGGTTAATCCCCTTCTTGCGTTCTTCTCCGATGGTTGTGTCCTGCGTTTGGGCGGCGTGGAGCAAAAGGTAATCGTTCTGAACCTCCTTCTCCAAGGCAGCCTTTCCCACCTGCCCTGAGTGGATCCATGGAAGCTCCACGAATGGAATGTTGTCAGGTGGCATAATGACTGGAGTCATGGTGAGATACTTCTCCGACAGTGTTGCCATAGTCTCTGCTGGGATGGAGTCGAAGAATGGAATGAACTCTTTCCATTTCTCACAGTAGGATCCGTGCCGGTAAGAGACAGTTCTCAACGCGAAAGGGCGATATGCGAGGGGGTCAAAGGAGAGCAACTCGTCCTTACTTTGCTTTTTCTTCGCAAGCTGATTGATATACCCCTGTTGGAAGTGGGCGATGACGTCCATCCGACGAATAGCGCAAATTTCGGGAGAGTTCAGCACATTCTTGAACGCTAGAACGATGCGGTAGAGATGATCAGCCTCTGGCATAAGGTATGGAAGCTCGACTCGCAGTGCACTAGTGTCGATTCGGAAGGAACCGCAGAGCTCAATGCTGGCCAGCTCAATCGTAATGCGGGCATAGAGGGCATAATAGAGGTTCTCGACAGTATCAATCAGCACAGCCATCTTCTGGGTGCGCACGTTTTGCTCGCTGCGTTTGATCCAGCATGGCAGACCGGTCTTGGAGTTGTCGGGCTAAGAGGAGAAACTCAGTGTTAGCGGTTGTATTTCCAAGAAGTAAAGAATCAAAGTATAGGGTAAAGGTAAATTTGTAATCTCAAGACATACCTCCGCACCGTAATACTGGGTAATTGTCTCCATCATCTTCGAGATTGTGTACAGCTTGCCGAAAATACGCACGATGACACCGAAATGAATCGATTCCTCAACAGGATCCATGAGCTCAGGAGCTACAACATTAGCTGGAGATGTGGGCGAGGGCATTGATGGGACCATGACCCATTCGTCGCTGCTCACGGTGTAGAGACGAAGGCGGCCCTGGCCGCTAGAATCGAGCTATCACAGGTCAGGGTCAAATCATTCCCAAAGTGAAACTAGTTTATGGAACTTACCAAAGCCCCAGAAAATTCCAGTCTGTCATCAAACGAGCTAATTTCCAAGGGAGTTTTTGGCTCAGATCCAGTCTTGGTTGAAGCCGAGGAGACCATCGAAGGCATGGTCGAGTTGCTGGCCTGCCGGGGGTGGTTGGTGGCACCGCCTGCGATCAGAGACAATGCTTCCTCGACAATTGTCTGGCAGTATCTGAAGAAGCGCCACTTCAACTGTTCAATTTCTTCATATGGAGGATCCTCTCCATCTTTGACACGGGCACATGCATCTTCCATCATGGCTTTGGTGGCCTGGGCATAAGCATCTATACAGTCCTTACCCCGTTGGAAAAACAACTCCAAGTCTTTTCCTGAGTGCAGAGCATTCAAGCGAGCCTGGGAGATGGTAGAAGCCATTGCTAGAGGATTTAGATTGGAATCGGACGCCATGGGAACGGTTGGGAGAGGAGTGGGTGGGAACATGAGTTCAGAATAAACGGGGGAATCGTCCGAGACAGGGCGCTGGAAACGAGGATAGACAAGCTTGTCCTGGAAAAGCTCATCGGGAGTCTCTTTCTCACGTGTAGGCTGGGGTGCAGGTGGCAGTTGCGTCTTTCGTAGTTTGGAGAGAGCAACTCCCCATCGACCTGTCTTGGACGCCATGTTGTACTTTCACTGCAACAAATTTTAGAAGAATAAACGTTTGTTGTAGAAAGAAGAGACATGAGATCAAGTACTGGGGTATTTATGTTTTCTATTATACTATTCAGTTCGTGATTTTCTAGGTAAAGTCCACGAACGGTCCACAATGGGTAGGCGCGACTCACCGCGCAACGCAGAAAAGCTTAGAACCATCAATAGCATGAGGGGAAAAAAAGGTAACATGCCTAGATAGGAAAAGAAGAAGAAAACCAAACAAAGAACCGCAGGAAACGCGACTGGGCCCGCGGTTCAATTCTTCGTAGGGTAGGCACATGCGCAGAAGAACGTCCTAACAATGGAAGCGGCTGGTGTTTTCGTGAATTTGGGTGACACGGCGCAAACAGATAAACCTTAAACCCCTTAAGCGCCTCCAAATGCTTGATGTTTGTCAATTTTGGAATCTCACATGGACCCGAAACTGTCTACTAGCAGCGCCTTTCAAAGACCGCTTACTGATAGATTTGTTGCTAGAGAGCATGTGGCCAAGGAAAGAATGTAAACAATAGAATTGAATTGGCTCAGACAAACAAAGAAATTCGAGAAGCTCTAACCCTGCACTCGGAACGTGCGGCCACTAGCAGTCTTACGCTCACGTTCTTCATTCTCCGGCCGAGCTCGGTTGAGCACTGTTGTGTGTTAGCAGTGAATATGTTATCTCTGCCCGGATGATACGTACCCTGAAGGAAATCCGCTGTTCTCTTCCTCATTCGAGTGTGAATATAGGCCTGCAATAAATGTTTAGTCATCAATTCCTGGCTATCATCTAAACAAAAGATCAGGAGAAACCGCATACCTTGGAGGCTTTGATGTGGTAGTGGAAGTAGTCACGGAAGGTTTGGATGTGAGAGATGTTTTCATAACGACGCTGCGGGGTCAGGTGTCGAGGGAACAGAACTGCAGGCCGAGTCAGTACTAAGATGAAAATTAATGGCGCATTTTGCATTCATACCAAAGGTGACATAGCTAACTTCGCCTCCAGTAGCATTCAGACCAGGCACATTGGCAAGCTCAAGGGGAGGGTCGTTACGGAATAGGACTTGAGGGGCATTCTGGAGCGTCAAGACACGTCGCCGGGCGTCCACGAATTCCTATAGGCTGTTAGTAAGGGGCTCCGCGTGAATCTACGGACCAATGGTGACAAAGCACGAACCTGCAGGAAGACCTTGCCAAAGATCCGGTCGGTCTCTTCGCGGAACACGGTGCTAAAAATCACCGTGACTCGGTCCCAGTTGGCTTTGATATAGATGGCCTCCTCTTCACGGTAGTGAATCGCCATAACTTCACCGCCCTCCTGGATACCCTGTGGTGCTGACTCTGAAGTGTACCTGGAAGCCTCCTCGGCGAGCTTGTTGAAGTCGTCAAATGCTTTCTCAAAAGGAGCAGCCATTGCGTTCCGTTTCAGGAGGGCAAGCTTCATTATCAGATCATTGCGGGCCTCCTCCTCTGCGGGCAAGTTTTCAAGATCAATTTGCACTGAAAAGTCGTAGCCCGGCTCCGGAGACACGATGTAGGGACCATATTCTCTCTCCAACACCTCCTGAGCTCCGTACTGAACCAGTTCCTTGTAGCATTTCACATTGATCGAGATGAGGATCTTCGTCTTTGACTCGGGAGTAGAGAGGTGAAATGTCACACCATCGAAGTCGGAAACCACTTGGTCAATGGATACAGGGGTGGCTCTGAGTTCAGCTTGTTAGCCGGGTGTCTGCTTCGGGGTGATGTGTATACAATGCGCGGGATCACAGTGCGGGGGAGAGGATCAAAGCATACCCAGAAAAACGTTCCGTAAGGAGCGACTGGATCAGAGCATTCTGATAATCTAAAAGAAGCATGACGGGCAGTACAATGGTTGGTATACAGTGGAGGTGGGTGGCTGTTGTGAAGTTGCCCGTGATCGTCATGGGCGGTGGAGGGGAGCCGTAGAGGTCGCTGTCACCGCCCGTACTAATTTTGTCCTATCGATAGCAATCGGAGATTCCAAAAATTTTCCCATCCACCCTGAACGATGGTGAAATCATACTTGTACGTGCAATTTTTAGTGACTTAGAATAATCGGATCTGAGTGCTAACATTCTAACAGTAAATTCGAGCACTCGAATACATTCGGGCTCGTCGCCTCGGCGTCTTCGAATGCGGTTTGGGCCAAAGATGACCAGACCGGCATTGCACGCCAGACGGGCGCTGGACGTGCCATTGTCGGCGCAAGTGAGGAAGTGTTGTGCTGGGATGTTAAGAAGGGAGAACTTCTTGGAAGATGGCGCGATTCTGCTTGCAGAGCGCAGGTTAGTGTGGTCACTCAGAGCATGACAGATGAAGATATCTTCGCAGTTGGGTGAGTGTTCTCCGGTGTGACCTCGTTGGAAGATTTTTTCTAACTTCTTTGTCCCGTTTCAGCTACGAGGATGGAAGTATTCGTCTTTGGGATTCGCGCACCGCCACGGTCATTATTTCCTTCAACGGTCACAAATCCGCCGTCACTAAGCTGGCTTTCGACAACGCAGGCGTGCGCCTGGCCAGTGGCTCAAAAGACACCGATATCATCCTCTGGGATTTGATCACTGAGACCGGTCTTTTCAGACTTCGCGGACACACCGATCAAATCACATCACTACACTTCCTATTTCCCTCCCCAGAATTACTCACTTCTTCTGGATTGAATGAACACTCAGGGTTTCTCTTGACCACCGGAAAGGATGCACTGATCAAAGTCTGGGATCTTTCCTCTCAGCACTGCATTGAAACACACGTGGCACAATCAAATGGCGAGTGCTGGAGCTTGGGCCTTTCGCCTGATCAGGGCGGATGTATCACAGCCGGCAATGATGGTGAACTCAGGGTCTGGTCCATTGACGAGGCGGCTATGATGGAGATTTCCAAGGAGAAGGTGGGCGCGGATGGTCGCCGAATTCTCAACGAACGAGGAACTTTCTACCGACATGGCAAGGATCGCACACTTGGCATCCGATTCCACCCCCGCTCAGATTACGTTGGATTTCACGGTTCCGACAAGTCGGTCGAAGTTTGGCGCATTCGATCTCAGTCGGAGGTACAAAAGAGTTTGGCCCGGAAGAAGAAGAGAAGAAAGGAGAAGGAGGCTCGCTCCGAGGAAACCGGACCGGAAGAGGACAACGACAAGTCTGAGGATGTTTCCGCTGCTCCTGTATCTGAAGTCTTTGTCCAGCACGTAATTGTGCGAACTGGTGGAAAGGTTCGTTCGTTTGACTGGATGACCAACAAGTCAAGTGGCTTGAACCTCCTCGCCGCAACAACAAACAACCAGCTTGAGGCCTACAGCATTGTGCCAGCGAACAAGAAGACTGCCGACAGCGAGGATCCAGACTACACTCGAATCTTGGCAGTGGACATTCCTGGTCACCGAACAGATATCCGGTCGATCGCATTGAGCTCCGACGACCGAATGCTTGCCTCCGCTTCGAATGGCACTCTGAAGATCTGGAACGTTCGCACCGAAAGCTGCCTACGAACACTTGAGTGTGGGTATTCCCTGTGTTCTGCATTCCTTCCTGGTGATAAGATTGTCGTTGTTGGCAACAAGAACGGAGAACTGGAGGTGTTTGATATCGCATCCTCAACTTTGCTCGACACTATTAAAGCCCACGACGGACCCGTGTGGTCACTTCATGTGCACCCCGATGGCAAGTCTATGGTGAGTGGAAGTGCAGACAAGACAGCCAAGTTTTGGAATTTCCAGGTTGTCCAGGAGGAGATCCCGGGAACCAAACGTACCACCCCCCGCCTCAAGCTGGCACACACAAGGACGCTGAAGGTTAACGACGATATCTTGAACCTTCGTTTCTCTCCGGATGCACGACTTTTGGCTGTTTCTCTCTTAGACAACACCGTGAAGGTCTTCTTCGTCGATTCGCTGAAGCTATTCCTGAACCTTTACGGACACAAACTTCCTGTCCTGAGCATGGATATTTCCTATGATAGCAAACTAATTGTCACTTGCTCGGCTGATAAGACTGTTCGACTCTGGGGTTTGGATTTTGGTGACTGTCACAAGGCCTTCTTGGCCCACGAGGACAGTATCATGGCAGTGGCATTTGTTCCTCACAACAAGGATGGAAACGGTCACAACTTTTTCAGTGCAAGCAAGGACCGTATCATCAAATATTGGGACGGTGACAAGTTCGAACAAATCCAGCGCCTCGTTGGCCACCACGGTGAAATCTGGGCACTTGCCATGAGTCACACAGGTGACTTCATTGTCAGTGCCAGTCACGACAAGAGCATCCGCATTTGGCAACAAACCGACGAGCCGTTGTTCCTGGAGGAAGAGCGAGAGAAGGAGATGGAAGAGGCTTATGACAGCACGCTCACTGCATCTCTCGAGCAGGAGGAAGACGGTGAAGACGGCGAGAAGGCCGAGGCCGTCGATGCGGGTAAGCAGACGACTGGCACTCTGATGGCGGGAGAAAAGATCATGGAAGCTCTGGAACTAGGCCTCGAGGATCTTGAAGTCGTACGCGACTGGCGCAAGGTCAAGGCTGCCAACCCCAACGCCGCCGCGCCAGATCGTAACCCCGTCTATTTAGCTCTCAACAACGTCTCCGCCGAGCAGCACGTTCTGAACACTGTCCAGAAGATCCCCGCAGCTGCCCTTCAGGACGCCCTTTTGGTTCTGCCATTCTCTAAACTCTCCGCTCTCTTCACCTTCCTCAATATCTGGGCCGATCGCGAATGGAACGTGCCCCTCACCTGCCGTGTGTTGTTCTTCATCCTGAAAACCCACCACCGCCAGATTGTTGCCAGCAAGATGATGCGTCCTATGCTTGACAGCATTCGGGTATCGCTTCGTCGGGTCCTTGCCCGTCAGAAGGACGAAATGGGCTTCAACCTTTCTGCGCTGCAGTTCATTGGCAACCAAATCCGCGAACAAAGTACCACGGACTACGTTGATGAGGATACTTGGGAGGAGCAACAGACCTCCAAGGGCACTGGCAAGAAGCGCCAGTTTGTCAGCGTTGCCTGAGTTTAGGAATAGGTTGGTGTACAAGCATGTCTACTGGCGTTATGATCATTTTCGACCTTGTTACCTTGGAGGTCTTCTCTGTCTTGTTTTCCATAAAAAAGTTTTATATCCTCGGGAGTTGAAGAGAATAAAAGGGATGTATGATAGTTCAATTTCGAAGTAAAATATAATCTTTTCTCCGGGATAATTATATTCTCAAGTTTCAAAACAGAAGTTTTTCAATTTCAAGGTTTTGGAAGAAGGAATGCATTCAATTGGTCTGACTATTATACTCTCCACAAGCAACAATCCTAGCCCTCGAGGATATTGGAAATTCAATCTGAAATCTGCATTGCAAAGAGACATCATTAGCGATTTGCTCCAAGCAACGACACGTTGATACTTCCAAGACCACAGCTCAGAAAAGAAACGACAAGCATCCGAAGACTCTACTCAGGAGAACCAATGTAAGCATCGACGACAGGGATTTCAGCCCCTGCCATACCTCTTCCGGCTCTTCCTATTAAAATTCCGGTTCTAATGCGAATCTCATCATAATAGAGTCTTTTTGATGCGATGATCGTTGTTTCTTTACTTCGATTGTGGTCCGGTCAGGGGAATTTGGTGCAACATACCTATTGGTGTGTTATTCCAGTATTTACCGAAGGCCAATTGCATATATTGGCCTTGGACCACGCTGGATTTTGGTGTTGGTTGGAGCTGGAGAAGTGGAAGAGTTCAGTTTGGAGTTTTGTGAGAAAAATTTGGCCCGGTGGATCTGTCTTAGTCATTTGGTCACGTGTTGATTTTGCACGGGGCTATACCCCTGGGTTATCGACATGGAAATTGGATTGAGATTTATTGACTATTTAATATTCAATCAAGATTCATTATCATACGGGTATTTATTTCATAACGTTCATGATTCCTCCAGTACTTTAAAGGCATGTGGTGGTAAAGCATCTCGAGATCTGCTCAAGAGGACGGCTTCATGGTCCCACAGCAAGAGCATGTCCACCACTGGGTTTCCATGAAGCTACTGCACGAGATGCAAACCCACCCAAGAGGTTTCTTATCTGCGCTTCGGTCCAGGGACTTGATGGTATCGAGTGCACGGGTTCGGTTCCTGAAAAGAAATGCATCCCCCGGATTTGCTTTATTCCCTTCCTTTCGATCAAAAGTCAAAGGCCTTTTCTTCGAGTTACCAGACTCCAAACGCTCTGGTGGGTTCGAATGCCGACCAGAAGTGGGTTTAGATAGCGTATTAGTCGGAGGCGGTCGTTCTGCTGCACAAACATCACAACATAGGAAGGTAGACGGGTTCTCGAGCGTGCACATTGGGCAGATCCAGGGTGTCTCGTATGAGCTGTTATCGGCTGTAAGATCAACAATTTCATCGTGTTTCGATGGCTGGGCTTCGTTTGGAAGCGTGGGCAGAGCTTCAGAGATAGCAGGCGTGATATCGGAAGCAGTGGGAGGTGGTGATGACTTCGTCCGAGGGCCGGCTGGGTTTTCTTGACTTGGCGGGACATACAAAGACTCGTATTTCTCCCTTTCTTCTTCCTGTATCAGTTCGATAAAGGCCTCCATGATAGCTCGCTCGTTTGCGTCGTCTTCCTCGGCCTGGGTTCTGAACCCATGCGAGGCCTCTTCCGCGAGTTCAGTGCTTCGGTCTGTGCCAGAAGCACAACCCCGAGTCACTTCAATACGTCGCTGAGCAGCGTCAGCCCTTAGTTTCCGTATATCCGTTCCTCGGAGTACGCGGGTCCCGCCAAGCTTTTTGCCAGCATTTTTGGCAAGGATCCTTCGCTGCTCGGCAGCAGCACGAGCCTGACGTCGAGCTTCATCCAGCGGAATTCTTTGGCCACCCAGACGCTTTCCTTGAGATAAAAAGCCCTCTCCGGTATAGCCTTTTCGGGCTAGCTCCTCATGCTCATCACGAAGTTGATTCCACAGTGCATGAAATTGCTGGTTGTGAGGACCAATCACATTATGGGCGAGTCTAGGTTTGATCAGAATTTGTGTTTTGCGGTATTTACATTTGAAATAACTCACTCATGAAGCATAGTATCCAAGATCTCCTCAATGGGGAGAAATTGCCGTTGGTCGGAGGAATACCGCAACCTTAAACAAATCTTCTGGCCCGAGTTGACATTCAAACCCAACAGGTTTCGCTGCTGCGGATAGAACTCACAAAGCGCGCCCACTCTCCAGGCGCGCTGTCGCATGATTGGTTTAACCAACGATGCGACTTTGCGCAGGATCAAGAGGGCCTCTGCTTCTCGGGGCCGTTTCTTTTCATGACGGTATTCTGAGATTAGAGGATCTAGCTCCCGCATTTTCGAGATTTTTGAGAAAGAATTTGGACGGTACGGTAAAACAGGAGGCCGCGAACATGTGAGATGTTTCTACCTTCGTTGGGAAGCCTTCCGGGGCCAGAATCTGAAGACGAAGATGTCCCATCAGAGCATGACCAAATGATGGCATTACACAAATGGTGGCACAGGTAGCCAAGAACAGTCAAAGGAACATAGTCAGCGAAGGAAATTCCAGAATAAACCCAAGTTCGGGGTATCCATGGATGGCTGGCATTGATGATCAAGCAAGGCACATATTTACGCCAGATTTTTCAGGCTGTAAATTCGATCACGTGCCACACATCTAAGTGGATAGTTGTGATTGGATTGACGTTCTTTCAATTGTTAACAAGGTATTGTATACCATTTTTAAAAAAACATCCCAGAACTACTGTTTCCAGGTCAATGCTTAGAGCTGTTAAAACTATGATTTTTCCCACGGTCTTGCGTTAACAGTTGCATCTCTCCCATGCAGATATTTATTCACAGTCCCTAAAAACAATACAAGTAAAAAAAGGCGATTTATTGAATGTAACACTTCGCTGCTTTCTCCCTACTTCAATTGAAAGTGGCATCAACGTCGTGTAAAGATAAAAAGAAATTGCCCAAAGTGCATGACTAGTCCTGTATACTCCCCGCCCTTGACGGTTCTAACTACAACATGTGCAAAGCACTGCTCATGTGACTTTTCCGATAACACCGAGAGGGTTATCAGCATCCATCTGATCAACCTTTCGCTCTTGGTTTTTTTTTCATCTTCTTCTCAAATAAACAAGATGACGAGCGACGACCAGTTCTTTTTTGACTACGTGAGCATATGGAAAGAGACAAAGAATGCCTTCGGTGCTGATACTTTCTCATCTAGCTCGCGTCTATACCCCATGACGTAAGGCGGTATTCACTCAAAGTCGCAGACTCGATCGATCGGCAAGTCGACTATGCCGCGCACGCGATCAAGGATACGCTAGCCCAGCAGACATGGCTACCGCCAACTGTTCGTCCGGCTCGTGTTTCCCCGAGAATCCGGTCATCACAAGGCCTGACGGACCGGATCCAAAATTGGATGGCTCAGAATCGCGCCTGGACGGCGGCCATGCTCGCCTTTATCGGAACCGGCGTTGTCTTATACTATGGAAACAAAAAATTACACGGAAAACGAAGAAAGGCTAGAAGGGCGAGCAGCGGCGCAAGGAAAGAGATTGTTGGTATGTGCCATGTTGTCTGTATTTGATCTGCACTGCGATCTGAGTGCTAATTCTGCTATTACAGTTGTTGCCGGATCGCCACATGAGCCGATTGTAAGGGCTATTGCTATGGATTTGGAACGTCGAGGATATATTGTATATGTGACTGTATCTTCCGCGGATGAAGAGCATATCATCAGGTCCGAGAACCGTGTTGACATCAAGGCTCTCTGGTTGGACCTTACAGCTGCAAGTGCTGTTCGTATATCTCTTACATGGGAGAGAAAACAACTAATATTGTACGCTAGACTTCCTCCTCGCCGTCCGAAACCCATCCTTCATTGCAAGAGCTTCGCTCCTTGATCACTCAACCACAGTCCCCTATCGCCGGCGTGCCTCCGCACACCTGCCAACTGAGCGGCCTTGTCGTGGTCCCATCGCCCAATTATAGCGCAGGCCCTGTCGCAACCATCCCGCCGTCATCGTGGGCTGACACGGTCAACACCCGTCTCCTCTCGCCTATCCTCACAGTGCAGGCATTCCTCCCCCTGCTGACTCTCCGCAGCAATAATAGCACTGTTATATTTGCCAATCCCTCCATCTCATCCTCCCTTTCCGCACCATTTGCCGGCCCCGAGGTCACCACAACTCGAGCAATCTCAGGCTTCGCAGCCTCGCTTCGCCAGGAACTTCGTCTCCTTGAACAGGGTAATGTCGATGTCGTCGAGCTGCAGCTAGGCAACATCGACTTGGGGCCTACATACCGCAATGGCCAGCGTCAGCTTGCAGGCACAGAAGTCCTCGCATGGAGTACCCAGCAGCGAGCCCTTTACGCCTCACAGTATCTGTCCAGCGTTGAGCAGCGCCCGGTTGCCTCTGCTGGTCCTAGCACAGTACGCGGATCTCCGGCGCGGAACCTCCATTACGCGATTTTGGATGCTTTGGAGCCCACCTCGCGAGATCTTTTCGGCCGGAAAGTGTCCAAGAAGCCTGTAATGTATGCGGGCCGGGGAGCTTGGTCGTACAGTCTGATCGGGGCCTGGATCCCCAGTGGACTTGTTGCATTGATGATGGGGTACCGCAGTGGGAATGGGACGAACTCCGACACCCCGAGTGGCAGCGGCAGTGAAACCAGCTGGGAGAGAGTTTAAGTTCGAGTAATATGTTCTGACGCATTTCTCTTCATGGCACACCCCTTTTAATCTATTAAGAGCACTTGCTTTGGATAACGTTGTTTAGTACATGGTATCGTTGGAAACACTCTTCGCTCTTGAAGATACTATCTCGCCTAATTTTGTCAATCACATCATCACATCTCAACACATAGCGTGTACCTCGTGGGCATACTTAATAGATTAGCATAGACCTAGTAGGATATCATCGGTTTTTTGCAGCGTCATCTCATCGCTATCCACCGAAGCAATCCCCCCCAGAGGAAGAAACAGACCCATCGGCTCCCTTCAAACCGGCACCCCCTTCATCTCATTCGAATTCTCACTAACAAGAGCCCTAGCAAAAACATCGTGCGCGCACAGCGGATCCCATCTCGCTCGCTTTAACTAAACCGTGCGTCAGACGGCGATGCAAGTGAAGCAGCGCCCAGGAAACGAGGACGAAACCCAGAACCGCAGCCGAGACGCCAAAACAGTATCCCGTCACGCGATTGCTCTTCTATCCGTGGCCGCCGACGTCAAGGAAGGAGTGCGGGTACCATGCCAGCCTCTTCTAGACGGCCCACTAATCATTTCATCGGAAGGCGGGGTTCTTCCAGCTGAGCATAGGATTTGGCTAGCTGGCGTATGTCAAAGGGATATTCGTACCCGGAATCGGGTTCGCCCGTCCTATCCTTAGGCCGCGTGCATGGTACAATGATAAGACCCTTTCGAGAAGGACCATCGTGCTGTAAAGATTGTTTCAAAGATGAGACGCTGCAAAAGCTGCGAAGATACAGGTATTTCAGGGAATTGAATGCCTTCATTGCGGCAATTCCAATATCATCATCAGTACTGAGATCTGGAAATCGCCAACCATGTCCACTTTTCGAGATTCAAATTCACTGGAGGATGGACAAAAGCGCAGCCACCCGTGCTAGTACGGCTGTGTCGAGTGTCTGATCAATTTGAAGGGACACGATATTCGCCAGCCCTAGCAGCATTTCTTCATGTGGCCCCAGGTAACCAGTTGAAATAGTTTGCAAGGAAGATATCGACACGGGCTGCGCGGCAACAGCAAATTTGCGCCATTCTTGCTGCAACATAGGCATTGGGAGTCTATGGCGTCTGTCATCTTCCTGTAAGAGAAGATGTTTCAACTTGGGAGCCAAAACAAGGAAAGACAGCATCTCGTCTTGCTTTGTTGACATCGATGGCCGGGTTCACATCGCTTATTCGATCCCAGAATTAAAGGGTTGCCAGCTTTTTGAAACTTGGCACACCGGTGCTCACGTTCTACGATGACTACCGTTTTAGCTGAAATTTTGGATGATGTTGTAATATTGCTTCCTGTAACGAAAGTGGAAAACTGTCTCGGACGAGAAATTCGACTTGTTCCAGATGGCACAGACGGGTGATGAGGGCGGCATGTGGGTCCCAGTCTCTTCGCGATTTCCGACAGCTCGACCAAGATGTGAGATGGTCGAGTGCTGCGGTATAAGATCAAACCGGGATCTGTCAAATGAGACTCTAGAAAAGTGCCTTTCACGGCTAGGTCGTCGACATCACGAGATACCCTCAACGTACAGCCTTCCAATTGCCGAGAGCGGGCTTGTGGTGAATTGCCGGTATCTGGATCGAAAGATGTCATAGATACCTCTCTAGCGTGTTCCACGAACTGACGGCCCCGGCCATTCTCTTCTAACTCCGAGACAGTTTCTCGGAGATTTCGACGATCCCAGAATATGATACGGAGGACTCGGTAGAAAGGTGTTGATTCAAAAGAGGGGCCGATTTTCTATGACAAGTGTGATTGAGCCGGCTGAAAATAGAAAGGGTTGTGCGTGACTCCAACCCATCGGCATGAAGCTAACGGGTTTGGTGTTTCAGATGAAAAGAGAGCGTGAGGTGATGTACACTAAGGCATATTGGGCGCAAAAAGCCCCGGTGGAAGACGATTTCTTCTGTGAAGGATTTGCAATGGAATGTTCTTTGCTTGTGAATGGATAAAAGAGCCTGCAAATATCCAGAAAGACATCCAAGGCAAGTACGGAGTACTTGTCTTTGCTAAGTGCCGGTGACTTAAGTGTTGCTTAGGGCTGCCAAGTATTGCCAAGATGCGGTTTCTAAATTGAATCTCCAACACGATATCTTACTAGCTCCGTATCGATTGCCAAGATGTAGTATTTTTCAGGGTAAATTTTTTTTAGCCAAAACGTTCTTCTTGACTTGAGAAACCACATGGGAATTTGCATCATCATGGGATCTACCAGGGGCCCTCTTATTCTCAACTCTCGCCTTTGGCTAACTTTTGATACAAGGGACGTTTGATACTATTCAGATGCCTATCACGACATTGGTAAAATGCACTGCTAACTGATACTTGCGGCTAATGAGCCCACATCTTCCAATTGAAATCACCTGTGCATTTCCATGTTGTAGAGATAGACTAGGATAATCAACCGATTGAAATCTTGGAATTGTTTTGAAGGCCTTGGGGCTCAAAGGGAAGCACCGAAGATGCTCTTTTGGATGGTATGCTCCAATACTGTTGAGATCGTATAGTCCAAGGTTCAGTTCAAGATTCAGTCCCCGTTGGAGTAATCGACTATCCCCAACTAGGGCTAGTGGAAATCACAGACCATGGTTGAGTTGATTCAAAGGGCAAGTTTTTGCAGCCCCCCCCCCCCCCTCCTCCCCTGGTCATTGTTCTAGAAGAAATAAAATTATCGGACATTGTTGACAGTTTGGACGGTTTCGACAGTTTCGACAGTTTCGAGAGGAAATTCCATTGGTTATATCTTCCAGAGCCATTCCACACCATTTCGAATTGGTACCCGCTCTCGTGGCTTGCAATATAAGTAGGGGATGGTCTCACTTCTCTCAGCCATTGGTGCGAACCTGAAAGGCTAGCCCTACTACGGAATATTTGTACGGAGTTTCCTCCGTACTAGGCACCAGCTGTTTCCAAGGTGATTCTAAAGTTAACACAATGGCTTCAGGGTTTTCTTCAGATCAGCAAAGATGATGAAATCCGTGTGGGGAGAGACGGCAAAGGAATAGGGTTCTAGAAGATAGCGGGTCAAGCAACGCTCAGGAAAATACGGAGAGAAATCAATAGTACGGAGTACAACATGGACGTTCAAGGGTATAGATTCAAATTGATTCAAAAGAGTTCTAGCCAATAACAACACTCCGTACATAGTATACCTCGATGTTATTCTTGGCGACCCCCTGATCAGTTCTCCCCCTGAGACGATCCCTTAACCGTCGAGGCCAGGAGTCCCGACTGTTTTATTTTAGTCCCCCAGGACGCTTCTATTAACTCCCCGTCTCAACGTTCGCATTGTGATCGTCAGCTCCGTTTTTCTCCTGTCTCCTTTCTCCTCTGTGTTGTATACTTTTCCCTCCCCAATGCCCTAAACTCTTACGATATTTCTTGCTTCTCTTTTTCTCTCTATAGGGCTGTCATTCCTTTGGCTCTATAATCTCGCCTTCCCGCCCGAAATCCTTTTAAGGTGTTGTTCGCAACTCCGACCTCGTCTCCAACCAATTGAAAAAGACTACATCGATGCTTCCTGCGCAAATATCTTAATAGATCCAACCGACTCGTGATAAATGGTTTAATAGCCGACCACTTGACATTCACATCTTCATCATGGCTATGCGAGGAAAACTGAGCGAATGTCGCTCCATATCTCACGATACCCTGCGGAGTGGCTCGCCACGGGTAGCGCATTTTGACGGCGAAATTCCTCCCGCACTCTCCCCGCTCGACGCATTCGCTGCCCAGAGCCGCTATCTTGCCCGACAACTCGATGAATCTCGACGAGGGGGCCGCCCCGTGAGTCGGCTGCCACCGGCGAGTGTAGCTCGATCTCTTTCGCAAGGCCGCCCAACTTTCTACCGTTCCAAGTCGTCGACTGAACCCCGCACCGAACTGACCCGGAAACCCACGCAGAAGGGAGTCCCGGAGATTGAAGACCCCAAGTACCGCCCTATCTCCGAACATCCTCGGTTTAGCTCAATTTCCAATGCTAGCATAGACGCTAGCGATTACGAGGATGATGATGATGACGATGCGACACCCCGGACAACGATGCTTAATACTGGTCGGGAGGAGGATGGGATGACGCACGCCGAGTCACCAGAGGAGGTCCCGTTACATGCAAGTGAGGCGGACGGTGAGCCTGTTGGTATGGCGGTTGGTGAGCCGCAAGACTCATCGATCGATTCAGCTGGGCGACTGGATATCCAACGCACCTTGGCACCGCCAGTGTCACCGCGATCATGCCCATCCAGCTCTACCAAGACGACACACCCTGAAAGTTCTGATGATGACTACAGCAGCTCTAATGGTGGGTCGACGTTCTCCGAACCTCGCAAGCTGTCTTCTGGAAGTGCTGTGTCATTGCCATACTCTCCCATGTCGACATTCCCCGCCCGACCACACCCCCGATCGCCATCCATGAGCTCGGAGACATCAGGAACGGGAACGACCCCACTACCCCGTCCTTCGTTCAACTTCTCTCGACCGCTCAGTCGGTCGAGTACGAGCTTATCTGCTTCGGGAGCTTCGATGCGTACTGAATCGAATCATAAGCACCGCCGCAGCAGGCCGACTCCGCTGCTCTTGCAACTGTCGACCGAAGATGCTGCCGGAATGGCACCTATCGATGGCGAGCCGTCCTCCGCCATGTCGTTTCACACGTACGCCGACCATGCACTTCCGCGCGGACGCTTCCTTTCCCGGGACTCTGTCGTATTTGGAGGCTTACAAACGCCTTCCCGGCACTCCGAGGAGCCACCGCAGATGACGCGGACGCCATCCCCCTCGCCCCATCGCCAACTGGAGCACTCACCGAAGCCTCACTCAATGCACGAAGTTCCAGTTCCCAAGCCTCAAAGCTCGACCCCGATCCCTAACCCGAAATTCCAACCTCCATCTCCATCTCCATCTCCATCTCCATCTCAATCTCCGCCTCAGCCTCAACCCCAACCTCAACTTCAACCTCAAACCCCCAAGCCTCAACCAGTCCCACAACCCCCGCCTATGCCCAAATCAGTGGAGCCGGAACCTCAGCCCTCTGTCGAGAGCACCCGACCGACGATCAACGACAAGGAAGAGCCTGTCTCTTCTGCGAATTCGGCCAGCACCATGCGGCCCCAAGCCACCCCCGACAAGGTGACGGCTTCTGGCCTCACGGCTGACGACCACGTCGCCAAGGGGATTGAATGCCACGAGCGAGGATCCCTGAGTGAATCGACGTATCATCTGCGGATTGCCGCGAAACAGGAGCACCCGACGGGAATGCTGCTCTATGCGCTGGCCTGTCGGCACGGTTGGGGCATGCGATCCAATGAGAAGGAGGGCGTACGTTGGTTACGCAAAGCTGTGGACTCTGTCGGATTGGACAAGTTGGGCGATCCGGACGCTCCCGGTGCGTCGAAGGCGAAGGAAATGCAAAATACATATCGGGTTCAATTTGCTCTGAGCGTTTATGAACTCGGCGTCAGCTACTTGAATGGCTGGGGTATCGAGCAGGACAAGGCTTTTGCTCTGCGCTGCTTCGAGATCGCCAGTCAATGGGGTGACGTTGACGCCACGGCCGAAGCCGGATTCTGCTATGCACAGGGTGTTGGCTGTAAAAAAGACCTGAAGAAGGCGGCACACTTCTATCGCTTGGCTGAGTCCAAGGGTATGAGCATGGTTGGCAACAGCTGGTATGTTTTGTTTCGATAGTCGTCACCTCCAAATCGACATTGCTGACCAGTATGTACAGGATATACAAGGACAAATACAAAGAGACCGAGCCCACCGGCTGCTCCCGTGGCCGAAATGCCACTGGAGAGAAGGACAAGGACAAAAAGCTGCGCAGCAAGTCCCGCACTCGCAGCATCTTCCAACGCAAGAAGTCCGCCGTATCAGAGGCTTAGCATGTCTGCTGTCAGTTCTCTTCACTCTCAATTTCGCCTCGGCGTGTTTGTCCTTGGAGCTGTGGAAGAAGCCATTCATTTTGCATTTTGCAATTTATATGGAGAGCCCCGAGCCGATCTCTGATTTCGCCTTTTTTTTTGATTTCACTCGATTTTTTCGGATTGACATTCCTTCATTTTCTCATGTCTAAACCTTTTCTTGGAATCTTCATCTTCAACTTTTTTTCAAGCCGCCTGGGCAGCAATTGTCGAGCACCGAGTCTGTTCCCGTGTCTCGCTCAACACACTTCAATTCTCCATGTATACCCTTTTTATCCTTTCCTCCCATCCTTTGCCATTTTTTGTTTCTTCTTTTCATGGCGTCTTTCCTTTCTCTTCATCATCTTTTCTTGGGTATGACCCTTTGGAAAATTTTTGTTATTTTTGTCTCCCATTTTACTTATGCCTCAGCGTGGCGACTCATGAACTCATGACAGAATCAAGACAGCGTTGATCTGTATCTTTTGGACTCGTAGCATCATCTCTACTTCTAATTCAGTTCCTCTCCATGTAAAGTACCCAAGTTCTACAACTTGTAGACCCCCGCATTGTTCCCCGGCTTTTGCCTCGGAGCATTGACCCGAATATGTCTAGATTGCCCAAATTGGCCGCATCTCCGCGCTTGACCCCCAAAACACACTGGGACCTTTGGTTCTGGTGATCAGAGGAGATTGGCCGGACCAGCTCAGCGTCTCTGGCTTTCTGCGTATCGGATCTCTGAATACGCAGGGTGTACTCGCATCCAGGATCGTCTTCCTGGGCAGCACGCTATATTGCTCCTAGTTCCCATCGTCCACCAATGAGAACCCGTTCAGTCAATAATATTATAGCAACGGTACTCCATAGAGCATCTCTTTTTGAAAAAAATAAAAAAATGGGTCCCCCAAATCCTTCGCCCAGCATTTAGCAAACGCCCTGGGAGGACGATTATCCCGACCCGACGCAGATCGCTTGCTAGAACGGTCTTTCTTGGTCTTCTGGTCTACCTCGGCTCTTCTCTTTCATGAGTTGATGATTAGACCCTTTTAAACTAGACATAATTGATCGAATCTCCCCAGAAATCTGGAGTTCCCCAACCGCTAAAATGATGCCTGGACTAAAATTCTCCGTATAGAATTGGTCAAATGACAAAACGGGTTCAACCCAAAAGGAAATGCAATGAGGGCTATATTGCACTGACGGGCATTATCTTTCCCCATTCTTTTTCGGGTTGCATTTGGTGGCTTTTTCCTGTCTACATTACATGTGACGCTAGAACATACCGTGCTAGCTTTCTACCTTTTAGTTGATATGATTTCCCATGAGAGATTTTGATAATAAAGTACGAACTACTACCCACATCTTCTAGAGGAGCTTGTATCACTTGGATTGCTCATCTTCTTTGGAGCTTCGAGGCTCTTCTCTTTTCACAGGTGTTTGGTTGACCGGGTATGTACATATCTGGTCTAGAATTCTCTTCCACTCCCTTGTACAAAGCACAGAAACAAGATGTCAACCACCAAGCCTTCATTTGTCGAGGAGGAATCCCACACAACCCCAACCCCAACCCCAACAAAGAAGAGCTTCGGTACACGCCTCGCCGCCCATGTCAAGAAATGGTGGTGGGTGCACTTGATCATATCCATCGCCTGTTTCCTAATCATCTTACTGCCGGTGTAAGTCCTCCGTATGCCCATTGAAAGCCCGCCTTGACCACGCGGGCGCCACATGACCCAGAAACGTCCATGAACATTCCACTCACCCTGCACTGCATCATCTAGTGTCTACGTCGCGTATCCCAAGATCGCCCAAGATGCCGTCAATGACTCAACCCTCGCTATCACGGACATGATCCTCAGCAACCCTACGCCCAAATCCTTCCATCTCCAGCAGAGACAAGTCCTCGGCTCGCATAGTCTCTACCATCCTCACCTATACGCTTTCGATTCTGAGGTCTCGCTGGCCGGAGCGGCGGATCCTTTCGCTCATGTGACTGTCCCGGCTGTGAAGTCGAAGGATGGGGCCGTGATTCACATTGAGCAAAAGGTTGACTTGACTGATGCTTCGGCGTTCGGGGATTTTTCGACGGCTGTTATGTTGAATGAGGAGGTTTCGTGGAAGATCTATGGAAGACCTGGTTTGAAGCAGGGTGGGTTGCCAAAGACTACGGTTACTTATAATAAGACCGTTGTGATGAAGGGTACGTTTCTCTTTGATCTCTTTTCCTTTGGCTCCCACTCAGGATGGGACTGCAAGGGCTAAGTGTACTCACCTGATGAATCAGGCTTGAACAAACTGAAGGGCTTCACGGTGGCCAAGTTCTTCATCATGTTCCCGCCGGTGAACGGCTTCGGGATGAACGGCACTGTCACTATCCCCAATGCCTCGGTTTTGACCATTCCACTGGTAATGACTGCTTCCGTACATACCATCTCCACCTCTCCAGGATGCTGATGGAAGAAATAGGGCAACGTAACCCTAAACCTCGAGTTAAACGGCAGATCAGTGGGAACAACCTACCTGAGCAATCTAACCCTCAAGCCAGGAAACAACACTGTACCAATGATTGGCCAGGTCGATCAAGCTGCCATCATCACCCTGCTCACATCACCATCTAACCCATACAAAGACGGCATCATGCCCTTCGATATCACCGGAAACGCGACCTCAACATGTGACGGCAAGGAGCTGCCGTACTTCTCCAAGGCACTGGCTGCGAACAAACTGTCGATCAAGTTAGATGTTCTGTCTGCGCTGAAGGAGGCCGGGCTTCATCTCACGCTGTAGTGGGTCTTGTGTTTTGTGGGCAGTAAACACTTCTGTTTGTGCTAATGGCATATGTTTTTTTTTATTATTTTACGTTCTTTATGCTACTACCAGTGCCATGCGGGTGGGATTTGGTGACTGATCTCTGCTATATGGTGTTTTGTTCACATTGGGGTATATTTTGAATCCCTTCTTTTTGTAATCAGCTGGTGCAATGCATATAATCTTCATTTTCACCGGTAGATATGAAATTCCCATGTCGCTACAGAGTGGCCGAATAAGAAGAAAGTTCAAGATAGATTATAGATGATGAATCCACCAACCACCATGAACCCTTTTCGATGCTTCTTGGGGGCAAAGAGAGATCCGACAATTTACAAGCAAGCAATACTTGATGCCGGAATGCGTAACTGCCTCACAACCCCACAGATAGACCGGCAACACTTAGACCCCAAAAACACATATCTTGCGCAAATCTAATTTTTGAAATTGCATCACAACGCCTTAGGCTACAACCTCCATTTTAACTGTAAT